AAATTTAAAATGTAGATGTTTTAAATGATTCAAATTTTTAAACCCCCCCCCCCCCTCAATCCCCTCATTATATTATAACGATACCCGATCCAACTAAATTCTCCGATAACTACTTGCCCAACTGTTATCTTATAGATATTAGTTTTATTGTGAGTAAGGTACATATAGGGGACGGGTTGAGTTATCAGATTAGGTGTGCCGGCTAGCTCAGGGTTCAAATAAGGAGGGAGTAGCTTTAACCAAGATAGACTGTAGTGGTTGAAGACGGAATTTGACACAAGTTAGTTTATATCTAGCCTTACTTAACTTATGAGCAAACCACAGGAAAGTAGGCGGAATATGAAACAAGTCAGTTTATATCGGGATAACTAAATATTGCATTGCTAATAAAAATTTATCATAATTAATCAAAATTTTATTATATAATCTTTTCTTTTTTTAAAAAATAATTTACAGGAACATCTTTTTAAAATATATTTTAATCAATTTTTTTTATTATATAAAAATTAGAGTCTACATATCTATTTATATATAAATATTTTTATTTAATATCAGTGGAAAAAATTATATATTTACTAGCTTATTACAAACTCAAATTTTATTTTTCAATTTTAAAATTTAATAAATATCTTCAAAAACGCGTTAATTATCATATTAGGCTGTATGATTATTCCTTAGCCATTTTTTAATACTTGGGTGTAGATATAGACTTCTTTGACATTAAATTTAGTTTAAAATCAAAAAATAACCGCAAATTTGTAAGCTACATATTTCCGGCGTTACTGATCAAAATCTCTTCATTTTTGTTTTCAATGTTTATATTTTTATAAAACATTATCCCAAAATATATTTTAATATGTTGTGATTTGACAGACTGCCCACTCGTACAAGTTTGCGTATTTTTCAATTTTTATACTTATAAATTAAATGTCAAAGAAATCCTTTCTTTAATTTTTAAATATTTCACATATATCTACAACAATCAAATATAAAAAAACATTAGCCAAATTTGGGTTTCCATATAAAAATTTTATATTTATGTATTTAACGCCCTCTTTTGGAGATATATTTATTATATTTTAAATTTGAAAAATAAAATATGAGTTGTATGTAATAGGGGAACTTTTGAAATTTGTAGTATCAAATTGAGAAACTAATTAAATTTAAAAATTTATCAAATTAAGAAGTTAATTTTGTTACACAATTTTTAGATTATCGGAAGGCACGGAAAGAATATAAAAATTTAATTATTAATCACTAAAATATTTTACATTTAGTGTTCTATATATATGCAATTTAATTTTTACACTTTTTACATATTGAAATAATAAGTTTTTTAGGTTATATAAAAAAAGAATTTCGACAAGTTCGTCCTTATATTTTATAAAAAGTAAAAGTAAATTTACGAAAATTTCATTAGGAAAATATAATTAAAGGTCATTAAATTACAAAAGTAAAAGAAATATAAAATTTTTTTTCAAAAAATTATCTAATTAACAACTATATTAAAATTTAAATATGTATCAATATCTAGAAAATATATTTCATCACTGAATCCCCTTATTCGTTCTTTTAATATTTTGTAAAAACTAAGTTAATAATATAAGAATTCATAAAAAAATTAATTTTTACCATTCCAAAAGAATTATTAATATTGGAATATATTATATTTAACTTAAATTAGTATAGTTTATGAGGCTTCAAAATTTGCTGTATATTTTGAATCCCAATAACATAAGAAATAATACATTAAAAATTAAATTTTTACCATTCGAATAGAATTAATAACATTTTTACCATTTTAAAACTGTTAATCTCCATTTTGAACGAGTTAGACGAAAACCGTGTTAAACCTTACTTTTAAAAGTAGCGCGCTATTAGCTACTATTTTTTAAAAATAGCTTTGGCTACTTTTTATTATTTTTTGCTTATAATGTAATTAATTGCATAGTATAATGATACATAAAATCCTCATTCATAAATATTTAAATAAAGTTAGTTTTAATATAAAAAATTAATATATAATTTGTATAATAAAAATAGCTATTTATGTGGTAATATTCATGTTTATTTATTTTTTTGCTTCTTAATAATAAAATAATTTCTATACTATCACACCCAAGTCTAGAGCGACGATCAGAAAGTATAAGTTTCCTTAATAAATAATCTCTCATCAAGAGCATAGATTAGTAAAAGTTGTTAAAATATTAACTGTAATATATTCTCTAATTGTCAAATATGAAAGTGGAATTTTACCTAGTATTTTGTAACTAATTCTATATAATAGAGGAATATAAACTATATGTCTACTTACTTTTTATAAATAAATTTCTTATACTTGTTTGGAATAAATTATTACCATGCTTTTATATTAATGTATAATTTATTATATTTTATATAAACTAATAAAAATATATTTCATATTTGTTCCAGGCTTATTTAAATTTGACTATATATAGACTAAGGTAACCCGGCCGAAGTCCGGGCAATAGCGGGTCGAAAGCTAGCCCAAAATGGGGTCTGGGGGTTAAGCCCCCAGTAATTTTTTTAATTCCCTCCCCCTTTAGGAAAATCCTGGCTACGCCTATGAAACCAATCAAATAATAAACGTATTGATTTTGAAACTTTTTATTTAGCACAAAAAATAAAGCAAAATGAGTGCACTAAAATATAACATAACTGTCTATTTTATATAAAATACAGTGGAAAATAGATATAAATTTAATATAAGAGAAAATAATTTTATGTTTTTAAGAAGAATCCTGCATGCGCAATCCAATAGTGAACAGCGTTAGTCTGTAACATACCATCCTTCTAAAAAAAGCCCTTTCAGTGCTAGATGAGGAGAATTTTCAAATAATCTCTCGAAATTTTCGATATAGATATCTATTTTGATTTAATTTCCACCAGTCTAAATGGATTTGTATTATTAGAAATTCTGAATTATACATATTCGCTTATTTTTAAGCTATTATTGTAATTACTAGGTTTAACTTGATGGCGTAGCTCGAGTAATTGGAGTTGTTGTCGGATATACCTTTTTGATAACGCCTTCATCTAAAAGTCTTTCCAACTGGAGATGTTAAATCGATATCGAAATTATTTATTACATGGGATGGGAGAGATATAACAAGAAATATATAATTCACTTCTTATTTTTTAAAATTCAAGTCCAAATTTTTTTAAAAATAAACGAATAATCTTCTCTTTTTTTAAATATCAAAACCCATATAACCATATTTTGTATTTTGGCGGAATTAGGTAAGAAATTTATCAATATTTATTTTTGCCGGAAAGAATTAAAGAAAATATAACTATAAATTATCAATGGTAAATTATTGAAGTTCCATAAAAACCATGGATTTATCAAAAATATTTTTCTAACTATAATATCCATCTTTAATCTAATATTGAATATAGCAATATAATATAGTAAGAGTTGATTCTTTTCAGACTCATAAAGTAATGCGATCCATTTGAAAATAGCTATAGTAGATCGCTACTTCTCAATTATTAATTATAAAATGCGGTATATTTAACGAGAGGCGCCTACCCAGACCAGATCACCAATATCTCATGGAAAGAGAAATGGTTCCCAGTCCGGGATTTTACTCTTTCTTTCTTTCTTATACAAATAATCATGATTAGAATCCTTTGATCTAACGGAGAAGTTAGATAATTTAATATATTTTTAAAAATAAATTTTCTAAAAAACTAAAATGAGTTTACCTAAATGTAGAATTCATTTTTCGTCTCCATAGCTCTATGCTTTTCCTCGATAAATTTGATATCAACGGCAAAGAGTGATTGCAAGAAAAGTAACAAAATCCACCTAATTAATCATGGCTATGGAATAAAATATTCTCTAGAATGGGGAGAATTCCTCAATTCTACTCTTTATAACGTGGTAATCTATAAATTATTTCCACGTGTCGAAAACTTCCCGCTAATATTTTGGGTAAGGAAAATTATTTTATTAATAAAATTACATTTTAATTTTATTTTATAGACTCAAGGGTTATAAAACAAAAACGAATACGCTCGCGGGACCTGGTAAATATAAGGTTAACATTATCCCATATAAAAAACGTTTATTGAAGACTAAATGATCTATGTATACAAACCAAAATATTCTCTTTTAAATTATTATGTCAATATTATTATTTCCCACTATAGGAGATAGCTTAATGAGATTTTATAAAATAATTAACTAAATAAAAATTTAAAAGAACAATGTCAAATATTTTTGTATAAGAAAAATGGTAATATCATCTGTTTCATTGTAAAAAATGTGTTTATTTTTAGGCCTTCTATTCATCACTTAAAAGTATTTCGAATCTTAATATTTATTAAAAACATTTCACATTGGAGTACATAGGAATAGGACTTCCCCAAAAATGTTTATACTTAAATAATAGAATATATTTTTATGGTAAAAATATTATGAAGCAATACACATAAGAAATACCACAGCTATATACTAGATGTTTTTTTTAAATTTAAATTATTTTTAGATTTTAACTATTAAATTAGAAATCTAAAAAAGAAAATTTAAATAAGATATGGTATAATTTGACAAAGTATAACTCAAGATTATCAACCAAAAAAATTTCAAATAATTAAATATAGAAATTAAAAAAATGTAGGCTGATAAATTCGTAATTTAACGAACCGGGCAAACTTTTAGCGGGCCGGGCCTTACTCTTCGTAAAATTTTAACGGGCGAGACTGGACAGTCAAATATTCTTATAAAGGGAAGGGTTTTAATTTTAGCCTATCAAACTTTGAACGATTACTTTAAAAATAAATGTAGTGACTTTATTATATTTAAAAGATTATCTTTAATATAAAGATGTATTCATAAAATATAATACTACATTACATTCAAGCTTACCAGTTGAAACATTTTTTTTAGTGTGGGTAAAAATTTCTTTTATCAATAAATGGGAGAAACTTCAAGTGGTAAAAAATTTGAAAAGGTTTTTTTTATTATTAAAAGCTAACAATAATATATTATGTATAATAAAAAAAACTTAAATATATCTGGCGTAAATTGTATCTGCACGTAGATATATTGTCAGAACCTCTGTCTGTATCTTGACACTTTTGTAGGTAATAATCTTTGAAAAGTATCTTTTTAACAATTCTCCAGATGGATATAAATTTATCACTAGTTATAAAAACAAACACATTCTTAAATATTTGAAACAAATAAATACTTTAATTTTAAAAATAAAAAATATATATTAAATATATTTTTTAATAAATATATAAAAAGACAAAAGATTATATGATTTCTGAAGTTAACACGTTTTCGCAACCCGTTGGGTTCAAAAATTTAAAATAGGATGGTTCAAATAAATTCTAACTAAGAAAAAAACTTCCTGTTATCGTTAAATTTTAAGGTTTCTTTTAAAAAATTTAGTGTGATCATAACAGATTGAATATTATCTAAATCTCTAATATTCTCAATTAGAATTTTCAGTAACACGTGTATTGTTATTAATATTCCTTGTAATTATTTTAATTCATTTTTTTTTGTTTAAATCGCGGTAAAAATTAATGTTCAAACATTTCCAAAAGGTAAGGAAAATTGGAATATTTTAAGATGTCACAAATTTGACCCTTTGTTTTTTGATTAATATTTCGTCGTCTTTTTGATTGAGTATTAAGCATCGTCAAGTATAATTTGATTATTATTCCACACACGCAAGGCCCACATTTCGAAAGATTTTATGATTTACGATTGTTGATATATATATATATATTTAAGAATTATTGAATAAAGGGTCATAGGTAGAATGAGAAGATTGGTCTATAATAATTTTATTGTTGGGAACGGTACTTGCGTCACTATGACTATTGGTCAAGAGGGGTTCCGTGATAAACGATGCTACAGAATAGTCGCGAGTTTGTGGGATCGTAACAAAATCTGAGATGTCATTTTGCACGGTAATATTAGGCTCGGGGAGAGTTGCTTTAGAAGGAATAATGGCGCCATGAGAATTTGAATTTTCGGCTTGCGATATTGCTAAATTCTGGAAATTTTCGTAGTTCTTGTTATACAAGATATAATAACAAATAATTTAATGATTATACTATATTTAATCCATGTATAAGTAAGATAAAAAAATTAATAAAATAATAATAACGCGAGTTGTTGAGTGAATGGCATAGCTCATCTTAACCCCTATTTTAAAACTCTTATATCTCATTCAAATTTCTATATTAAGCTGATATTTTTAGAAATTTAATCTACTCAAGAGTTAAAATGTTTTATCTTATTTTGTTCTTAAAGAATAGAAATTGTATTTGTAATCCCTAAAAATAAGTTTCATTCATTCACTTTTTTTTAAAAAAAAAGCCAATCTTACCGAATCCTATCAAATTAACATTGATATAAGATTCACCAAGAAGAAGAATTTTAATAAATATCAAAAAAAAAGACATAAGGCAAACTTTCTGCAATATTTTGAGTTCTTCTCTGAGCTCCTGGATTCTTATTTGCCTTTCCGTGAGGATGTCCAACAAGTCAACTTTCGGGTGCATATTGGCGTCGAATTTGGCATAGACATTTAGCCACAACCTTATTAGACATATTCGTACATAAAAAAAAACAAAATTATAGCTAAAAAAGAATATTGATTGAAAGCGATATTTTAAAATAAAACTGAATTTACAAAATATCTATAATATTCATTTTTAAAGGTAATGGTCATCGGCATTAGATTTGATCTACCAGTTTAATAGGACTCAATAAATGTGCGAATTCCCAATAATTTTTATGGATCAATAATAATCTCTTTACATATATACATTTTTTTTTAAGGTTAAGTATATGTCCTTTTTTTTTAAATTGATGGTATTTTTTAAAATATCTTAATCCTATAAACAAATTCGTGATGTTAATTAACACGAGGAAACAAAGCAACTACCCAAATAAAAACCATTCTAAATAACCTTCGCGTTTTTATATTTCAAAAATTGTTTCAAAAATAATATAATAAATCAAAATAACCTAATATTCTGAGCACAAATGTTGGGCTTCAAAAATAAACTATCGTGGCAGGTCGTCCCAATGTTCTTAACGTAGAAAGGGTTTAAAAACTGGCCGCTACCGTCGTTCAAAATATGGTTCCAAAGGGCATTTCGATTGGCGCCATATTGGGCCGCGGGAGGGATAAGCTGGTGGCGCCATTTTTCGCTGTTCCCTAAAAAAGTCAGATAATCGCAGGAATAAACTCGGACCCCCAGAAATTCCAAAAATCGAGAATTGAATTCGAAGCTACGAGGGAATTGGATCAATAGTTGCCATGTGCAATCCAGAAATTGTAGAAACACTGGCGATACCTTTTGGGGGTGGGAGTGGGAGGGGGGGGGGTTAAAAATTATTCGATATTATCGCCTGTATATCATTATACATAGATTGACGATTCATTCATTTAAAATATGCAACATTATACAAAACAGCTGGTGTTTTGGATTCCCGTATGAACCCATTTACATTAAGCCAGGGTTTCATTTATAAATAAATTAAATTACACGCAGAACCAAAAAATGGCGTGTCACCTGTCGTAACGACGAGGCACTTCAAAATGCATTTCAAATGAAGTCAGCCTGAGGTAATTTATCATATGCTATTGGATATGGTGGACGATTAATTATTTAATTGTTGCAACTATCCTTCCAATATTTAATATTTCCTGAAAAATAACAATATAAACGAATGAGAATTGAAACCCATTAATATAATTTCTATGACTCATCCCAACTCGATAAATATAATAATTAAAGGATTTGATTTGTTTAAACGGACTTTATCCGATCGATTAAATAAACCAGGGTTTTTAAAAACTATTTAAATTTGTGATCCGTCGAAAATGTTATCAGCGAGTTTTTTAGATGAAGACTATAAAATCTTGTATTTTGTTGATTTTACTTTCTTCCATTCATTCTTACTTTCTTTTTTTTTATCTTAACCTAATTTTAAAACGTAGATAGTTTGCTTTAATACCGACCATTTGGTTCTGGAAAAAAATCGACTTAACCTGGCTATAAGCACATGCCGTGAACGAAAACTTCCAGGCAAGAACTCATAAATGAAATAGAAAAAAGAAATCTGAACACTCTCCCAATTTGTTGTTTTGTTTTTAAAAAAAATAATAATCTTCCAATCATAGAAACATAATTTTATTAAATTTTTTTTCTAATATTTCGCATACCTCAACATTATGATTGGGTAATCATTTTATATTTTCTGCCGTTTTAACGAATATTTAGTAGATTAAAAAAAGGTTATTTTTTGCTGAGAACTATGACATCAGCCTTTTAAATTCGATTTATTTTTAAAAATACACAGCTCATAACTTAACTCGCACCTCAATGTTCCAGCAGATTTATTTAGGCGTGTACCGGTGTTATTAATGGCTAACTCAATACTTCATCCAGAAAAATATTAGCCTGAATATTTTGCTCATAGAAGGAACAAAGGTCTAGACATATATTATCAATATCTTGAGGCTTAGGCAATATTTTTCTGGCTATTGAGTTGCCACTTTTAAAAATCGGCTCAAAACGAGCCGTTTAACAACACTAACTATTAACCTGATTATAGATTATATCTAAAAGAAAAAAAAATTTCTGCCACAAATTCGCGTTAACCATGCGAGGTAATATTAGACAAAAATACAGGCATCGGATAAAAGTGCTTCCATTTTAATATACTTAGAACCGAGGGAATTTTAAAAAAAAATTCTATTAATCATTTTATGCTAAAATAAAAATTGACCAAAATAAGAGATAACTCACACGTGACTTTCATTATATATACATTTTATTAAGATCTTTAAAATCGTGCGCCATGTTTTATAAAATTATGTAAAAAAAAAATTATTTATAAAAAATCACGTGACCTCTCATTTTTTTTCTCTTCTCTTCTGGTTCCCTAACTTATAATAAAGGAGAAATAAACTTCTTTCTTGTCCCCGTTTAAATGGCCGCACCTGTCGTTGAATTTGTGGCCGAACGCTAACCAATCTTTTTCGATTAATGCCTGGTATATAATAGGTTTTATATAAAAGTAATGGATAGTTAAAATTACCTTCTTTCGTAATAACATAGCGTGTTCGAGTATTTAAAAGAGGTGGGGTGGGGGGGGGGGTAAATTGGGTATCTGACTACAACCACCCTTCTCCCCAAATTTTTTTTTCCATTTATAAATAAAATTAAATATGTTTATCTGAACTACAAGCTTTCAAATCAAAAGTTCAAAAAAAAAATATATCTAACCAAACGATTTTATTTTTTTAAATAACCATCTTTTCAATCCTCTAGTTAAAATATTTTTATTGTCCAAAATATTACACAAAAAAAGAAATCTTCCAAAAATCATAAATTTGAGATAAAAAGATGATCAAAATAGTTTTTTTAAAATTTAAAGCTATGAATATTACAAATAACCCCGAATTCGGCTTGAATTTTTGTATTCTCAACTGTGAATTGGCGCCAACTGTAGTGTTGTTAAACGGCTCGTTTTGAGCCGATTTTTAAAACGGCTAACTCAATATTTCATCCAGAATAGTATTACGCAAGCCTGAAGATTTTGTTTGTAGAAGGAATAAAGGTTTGGACATCTATTAGCGAAATCTCGAGGCTTAGGGAATATTTTTCTGGCTAAAATATTGAGTTAGCCGTTTTTAAGAATCGGCTCAAAACGAGCCGTTTAACAACACTAGCCAACTGTGAATTCGGGGTAAAACTTTAAAAATTAAATATCTACCCTGATAAGTAAACATTTTTAAATAAAAAAAAATGGAGAAAAGATCACCATGATAAACAAGACTCGAAATTATGGTTTATTAACTGCCGATTTTAATAATCTAACCAATTTCACCCCTTATAGTATCTAATTTTTCTTTTTCCATCTTTAATTTCCACCAACTATTTCTATTCTTTATATTTTCTCCATTTTTCTAATCCACTTTTCTATTCATTTTTTCCCCCCGATTATTGTTAACGGAACACCATGTCGGTAAATGGTTCCATATTAAAGTTAATATTTAAAAATGGTTAAAATAAAAGTATCTATATGTATAGGCCAATGCCTGATTTTGGCCAATGGTTTGCTTTAAAAGGTATAATGCTGAATTTCGTTAAATTTTAAATTCGCTTTGAGATATATTATATATTATTATTATTTATCTCATCTACTCAATTTCTAACGAAAATGCATATATGGGGTAAGGGATATCTTCGAAATAAAAAAGAAAATAGTGTGTATATAATATATCTATGGGGCTTAAAATAAATTTTTGGGACTATTAACCAACACCCGCGTTCAATAACAATAGCCCCTTTTCTTCTCTCTCTTATAATTTATCATAATAAACTTTATATTACAAAATATCCCTTGATAGTTCTGTAGTAAGGATCCAGCATGATCTGAGCCAAAGAGCACGTTTGAGAGGTTCGGTCCCACCCATCCGAACAATGCACCAATACATTAACTTTCTCTTCTCTTAACATCTAAATATTTTTAAAAAAAATAAAATAAATGAATGTTTGTTTTTTATCATTTAACCCTTTGAGTGGTAATTTGGCGCAGCATTATATAAGATTTTAAAAAAAATTGTTACTACAAAAAAAACCGCCAATATTTGCCTAGTTTTTTTTCACAGTAGCTTACTAATTTGTATTTTTAACTGTTTCCGCAAATTTTTTTTCATTAATTTATAAGGTCACGTTATTTAAGATGTGAACATATTATTTAAACCTCGCATTTTAATTTTATAATTTTTTTAAAAAAATATATATTATATTTGAAAACAAGTTTTAATTATTTAAAAATTGTTTTTGATCGGGCTTCGGACATCCCATCCAGAGCTCTACCCGTAGGTGCATGCATCATATGGATAATTATAAAATCTAGCCATTAATTTTATTCTTTTTTTTTAAAAAATATACTAAGATTTTCATAAATGTCTGATAAAAAGTTTTAAAATTATAGTTTTCCTTTCGAAAAAATAGTGTTTTATTTTTATTTTTGAATTCCTAAAAAATTTAAAAAATTAGCATTATTTTGTTGTTTGACAAACCTTATCTATTTATTTTAAAAAAATAAGTAAATTAATAAAAAAAAATTCGATATATTTTTAAATACTTGCGCAACTAATAAAGCGGAATTAAGAATCGCCCGTATGTGTTTTAGCCAGCCGCATGACTGCAAAGCGTTCAAATATGCCGGCATGTTTTCCCATTTGGATTGGCACACTGTTATAAGTAATTTAAAATGTTCATATCCTTATATTAGAAAAGGAAAACTGGAATAAAATGGGGGAAATATCGTTTAATGTTTTCTAAATTTGGAAATTTATTTAAAAAAATATATTTTCCCCATTATCTATTTTTTTTAAAAAAAAGACTCAATTTTAATGCGAGTGTTTGCTTCCTTAGCATTTTATTAATATTCTTTCCAATATCACTTTTAAAAAAATTTGTAGGAGATCTAAGCAAGATATTTTTAGCGATTTAGAAACCTAACCCGTTACGTATGAGTATAATCAGTGTTGCTAAATAGCCTCATACGTAAAAAATTATAATTCATATTTGGTGTCTCTCCATTTTTGAGCCGATTTTTAAAAGCGGATAACTCCTTATTTTAACCAGAAAAATATCGCCGAAACCTCAAAATTTCGCTATTAGATGCCAAAAACCTTTGTGCTATACATAAGCAAAATTTTCAGATTTGCGCATTATCTTTCTGGATAAATATAGTGAGTTAGCCGTTTTTTAAAATCGGCTCGAATGGAGTGTTTTGCAATAACTAGGTTCAAATATGAGGATTAATTACAATCGGGCCATGCCCTGATGTGCACCTAGTAAAGATGGTATATATAAGATATGGGATGGGGGGGAGAAGCTTGAACACTATTTAATGCTTAATTTCAAGATTCATCTAATTTTCAGCGTAGAATATAGTATGAGTTAGATAGAAGCTAAAAAAAAATGGGAGTGGGTTATCAACATTGCATGTGTCTTAAAAAAATAATTACAATTATATTTTGTAGTGTAGACAAAAATATTTAAACTTTTTCTTCTCAATTATTATCTAACATTTGATGTATATTTTTTTTTATTTGTTTCCATTCTTTCTTTCCTTTTATTTTTTTTTATTTTCTTTCTCTCTATTTTTATCCAATATATGAATAAGACGAAGCGCTAAATTTCGTTTTCAATAAAAATCGTGATTTTCGAATAACCTGTAATCAATTTGTTCAGCGAATTTCTCATCACGTGAATATTTTCGACGCCACAGAACAGAAATTTAACGCCAGCGTAAAAATTAGGGTTTTCGTAACCACCCGCACCTTTAGCTCTATTAGCAATGGCGTTTATCTATTTTTTTTAAAGTATATCATTTTCGTTTTTTAAAAAAAAATTTTGATAAAAGGTAATTATTTGTATTTAATATGTTTTTAGTGGAACTAATAATAAATTTTTTTTTTATTTTTTGAAAATTTTCTTGATTTTAATTTTGATTTTATACTTAGTACAATGTAAACGAATACTATACATTGTATTGTTAACAATGTTGCTTTTGCCGATTTAAAAAAATGGTAAATCAAGAGAGCCAAAAAAATAACTAGATTTTGCCAGATTCAAACCATTCTGCTATCGTCGTTTAGAGAAATCTTAAGGGGAAAGTGATATTTTTTTTTGGCTAAAACATTTATTTAGCAGAGTTCTTTTTAAATCGGTTAAATAGTGTATCCGTAAATTAGAAGGAAGATTAGTTAATGATGTGGTTGATTTTTTTTTAAAAACTAACAGAGAAAGGCAAAACACAATAGGAGATCCCAAGAATTTGAACTCTAGAAGAAAAGGGAGTATTATAAGCTAAATAAGATTGACTTAGAGTGGGATATGAGGAAGATAAAGACATGAAATATGGTAACACTATAGCATAATTACGCAAATGTTATTACGAAATTTTGAATTAAAGGAGACTAATTTATAAACGCTATTTCTATCACGAATATATTTGTTAATAAAGTAAAATATATATATGAAAATCAAGCATACAATTATATTTTGTTTTAAAAATAATATTCCTTGTGGAAAACGAAAACAAAAAAAAAGAAATTGGGAGATATAAATCTCAAAATCCTTTTACCGTTGTAATCCAATTTGTTCCGTTTTTAGTGGATTGATTTGTCATTATGTTTTAGTGAATTATAATATTTCATGTCATTTTGAATTAAAAAGATCTTAAAAATAATCATTTATAAAATGGATCCAAACAATTCCCATTACTTTTTTCTTAAAATCGTGAATATAGCAATCTGAAATAATGGATTGAAAAAACATATTCTCAGAAAATTTCCAAAAAAATTATCAGAAAACCCGGAATTTTAGGCTTGGCAAAAGATTTTTTTTAAAAATTTCGCTATTTTGAATAATTTAAGCAGTATTTTGAGAATTATTTCAAAGAGATGATTGAAATTATAAGCAGTAATATATTAAACGCCTCAATTATACGAACTTCAAGCCTTTTCTAACTGATTTCTTTTGACATTTATTATATTTAAAAATTTTTTAAAATCAGTCTAGAATAGATATTTTTTTAAAAAATATTAATAACCGGTTCTTTAAAATCCGAACATTTTTTCGCCCATTCAGGACCGGATTTTCATATAACATTTTTGGGGGATTTTTCATTTTTTTTAAAAAAAAAAGGAGATAGATCCAAAATAAAAATACTTTAGGCCTAGTATCAACTATGCAAAGCTGAGGAACCAAAATGTCGCGAAAATTCTCAGCGCCATTGTTGATTGGAGTGAGATTGGAAGATTTTGCGAAAGGATTCTCGGCATTCAATTTGTCGTTGTTCTCTGTGGAAAGTTTTGGGTCGTAATTAGGGTTTGTGTAAACGATGTCGTTTAAAAGGGTCTCGTCTTCCATGGACCTGGCGTTGAGACCTGATAGGGGTTGGCTGGACCGGCACAGGGCTACCTATTTTATTTGATATTCATAAATATAAAGCTTGTATTTTAAATGAGAAAAAAAAAATTTTTTTTTAATTGAAATTGTGTTTAAATTAGGGATGTTGGTCCTACGGGACCAACCTGTGGACTAGTGGTAACATCATCAATAAAATATAGGCCCCAAGATCCGTAATAATATTATATTTTCTTACGCGCCAAGGCTAGATCTTAAAAAAATTAGCCACAAGGCTGCGTCTGGCTGGCACCATAAAATCTTTATTTAGCCTCCTAGGACTGTCAGATTAATACGAATGGAACTGGTATTGGCTATTTTTATAAAAATTGGATCATATGAATATTAATTTTTAATAATTCATTTGAACATTGATTGCAAAAAGATTTTAGATTGCATGAAATGAAATAACAACCAAAAAAAATATTTACTTTCTTCTAACATATAAACCTTGATCAATTAATATTTTTTAAAAAAAGATATCATTTTAGAATTTAAATATAAAAAAATTTAGAATGCATTTTTCATTCATTCATTAAAATTCGGTTTCAAGTGTCCTTGAATACAAATCAGCTCTTGAACTGCCTTTTTTAAAAAAAAGGGTTTCATATTGTTTATATGGGAAACCAAAATGGCATGACACCAGTTGTTTTTTATTGATAAGAATTTAAATAAATAAATCGTCATATCCCACTATGTTGATGTTGAATTAGATTGGTGAAAAAAAATTTGGGACCAACCTAACTGGTAAGCTGGGCAAAAATATTTTCAGGCTTGACCAAATATCTAGTGACTCATAGTAAAATATTTTTTTATTGGTTTGGCCAAAAGTATTTTAAAGCTTTATATTATGATTGAAGCAAACAAATCCCCATAGGACAGTTTGGGTTGACAAATATTAAAGTCCCTTTTTTTTAATATAATCTATTTGACAACTTTGGTCTAAAAAACTCATTAATACCTTGCCAATTTTTTGATCAGGTAACTTTAAAAAAAAATGTAGGGAGGGAAGGAATAGTTTTATAAAATAATTTTTTAACCCCATTTTTATCGAGGTACGTGAGAACGGGGATGCGATTTTTACTTCTAAATTTACTAGCTGCCACCAATGTTTGGGGCTGACTGCTAGCTGGGACATACAATATCTCTGGGTATGTTTCACATATCTACAATATGAAAAATATATATATCAAGATTAAAGATTCATGAGTAATTTGATCAAATATATAAAATAATAAATTATAATTAAATATGATTTTTATTTTAAAAATAATTATGTATATTTAAATAATATATAAACTTGGTAATTAGTATTGAGATAACACAAAATCCATTTATTATTTGGCAGACCCATTCTTTTAAATTCAGAATTTAAATCAAATATATATTCTAATTAAATTAATGAATAATATTGTAAATTAAATCTGGGAATACCATTCTCAGGATTAGAGGCATGAATTATTTTGCTTTGATTATGAAATACTGGTAAATCTTCTAAATAAACTAATTTGAATTCAAAAAAATTATGTGGATAATAAATCACTTGGTCTAGATAAATTTAAAAGAGTTTGATTAAATGCATATCTATCACTGTCTCTTTGTATAATGAGAATCAAAGTCTGGAAATCTTTGCATTTCAACAAAATAGGGCATCCTTTAATATCCAGTGGTAATAGTTCAATAGTGTCTATCATAGTGTGCAATATCTAAGAAAAAACATATAAAATAGGAAATTTACCTTTTAATTACCCAAAATTCCTCTTTATTATTTACTTCTGATATAATTAGATGTGTGGCAGTGATATATAGATTAACTTTGTTATAATTCGCTTGATCATACAGAGCATTTTTAAAAAGCATCACATCTTCAATCTAAATACAATTATATTTGTTTTTAAAGTAATAAATCATACTTTAGTAATTTGTATATGCTCCATCGGATAATTGAAAATCTAGGTTTCAGCTTTTTTCGTATCTTTTTAACCATATGTTTTCAATATGTGAATGAATATGTATTAAGGTATTAAGTGATGTATAGCGCTTTGGAATTAATATTTTCCATTTATTAAAATATTAAATAGCGTCATAATTTTATCCTTATATACAAGATAAATGTCTTCTCCAAGTAGTACCTATGGCTTAATTGATACAGATATTGATTGAAACCACTTTATAAACCTGACCTGAGTCCGAATCTATCATTGGTCCGAATACAGCTAAAAAATAGATGTGTTTTCTGAAGCAAATAGGTGATTCCGTGCTACGAGGTATAATATACAAAATCAATGAAGTTTCTAGTATATATTAAAATAAAACTGGGTAATATTATGCAATCGCACTTTAATATAATTTGATTGTTATTTAGCAAATTTGGTTCTTAATTAACAAATTGCTATACCAAGACCATATGACTGCTGTTGATATTAGCGACTAGGGGGCGGGGAGGGGAGATCGCTTAGGGCCTCGGACCCTTTAAAAAATTGAAGAGCTCCCTCAAAATTTTAATTTTTTTTACCACTAAAAAAGTTGTTAGTTTAAAAAAAAGGCAATTTTAAAACTGTTTTTTGGGCCCCCTAAGATCGTAAAGGCTAATGATGCCCTTGCCTATTAATAATAGCTTATAATCAAAATACTTAGCTCCATTATCACCATATCTTTTACCTTTACTAACCCTATAAACTAATAAAATGCCATGACTGACTCATAACAAACTCTCGATAAGCATATAACATTTAAGCCCCACACCCCACATGATTATAAAGCATTTCATAATACATCACAATTACCACTTTCTTTTTCTTCCAAAACTAAGCATAACCACCCCCGCTTTGATATCTGTAGGCTCCAGTTAATTTCTCTTACAGAACATGTATAGCTTGCTCATACCTTATAAATATCATTTTGTACCATTTTTTTAAATAATATAATTTTGTTCCTTTTTTTAAATATTTTGCTCTCTTTTATTATTTTTTTCTTGATAATTTTTTTAGGTATTTATATTAATATACAGGATATGTAGTAATATATGTATATAACACAATACTAAACTGTTCGTGATGGCTTGCAATCCCATCACCAAATAATATAGGGTAAAAATATTCGGATAAGTTAAAATAATAATAATCGATGTTAATAATATAAGAAATCAATCATATCCGGGAATAATACATATAATTTTGATTGATATGATAAGACATCAATCACGAAATATATCAATTGGCATTTACCAAAGCTTATCGTGTTAAGAAATATTATGCCCTTGTTAATTTATTTTCACTAGTGGATAGCCCGTCAAAAATGACGGAAAATGAGAATTTTATTCGTTTTTTAAGAAAAATGTTAACTTTTATTTAAAAATCATATCCAATTTATATAATTTTTAAACCCCCCCCCTCCCCATTTAGGTCAAGTCCAAGCAATGTCATTGAGTCCAACCCATTAGGACTAAGAGTGGAAACTATTATTTGAGTCAAAATATATTTAAATGAGCTTGTACCCAATACCAAAATTCTTTGTAAATATATTACTGGTTACATAAGACTAACATTTAACATTAAAAAATTTCAAGCCAGGTCCAAGCTCATAATATTTGGAAAAAATTTCCAAGCGTTCAAGACCTTATAATTTATAAAAAAAATTCTCAAGCCTAGCTCAACCCATAATAATTTTGAAAATTTTTTCCTAGCCCGGCCCATAATAATTTGTATAAGATATTCCCAAGTCAGGTGCAAGCAAATATTAATCTTGAGGAATATTTTTCAAACCCAGTCCATACCATATTAAATTTCAAAATGAGGGTAAGACAGGGTTTGTTATCTAAAATAAAAACAAAGAATAATATAAAAAATATAAATGCAATGAACCTGAAGAGGAGTCAATATTAGGTTCAACTCCCTAGATATAGTGGGAACATTATCAGAAGCTAAAATAGATGTATTCTATAATATAAAAGAGTATAAAAAAATATATATATAAGGCTAACTTTATTTTGCGTTGTTAGTAGATTTTGTAAGACCTCTTTATCCCTAGTGTGTTTATTTTTTTGATTGACCTGCCATCTTTTTCTTTTATTAATGACGGATAAATCACCACCTGTACATTCATTAAATGAGGTTAGGACATGGTTTGTTATCTAAAATAAAAAAAAAAGAATAAATAAAAAATATATTAATGTATTAAACCTGAAGAGGAGTCAATATTAACCTCTCTAGAAAAAGTGGGAATATCATCCATCAGAAGCTAAAATAGATATATTATAAAATGATAAGTAATAGATGAATAACTTTATTTTGCATTTGGTAGATTTTATTGGGATTCACGTCATATGACCCAGTATAATTTTTTTGCTTGAATATGAGTTGAACAGCTTTCAGCTGGAGTGTGTAGCCTGAGGTAGGGAAATAAGAGAAAATTAAATGAGGGAAATTAAAAGGGAAAGGAAGGTAAAGATAAAGAAAAAGAAAATTAAAAAGTCAAGATATGAAAGGGAAATGATGAAAAGGGAAGATAATAAAAGAAATTAAAAAGGAAAGAAAGGAAAAGAGAATTTTAGTATTTTTTAAATTTTGATTTTTCCCATATTATTTGACTATTGTTAAAAATGTTAATGATATCTTTAGTAGGGCTACATATGTTGTCGGCATAGCATAATCAGTATACATTTTGTATGTTACTGAAAAATATTCTTTGAGTTAAAATATATATCTTTATAAAAATATTAACATAAGACTAACATTTAACATTAAAAAATCCCAATATAGGTTCAAGCCTACAATATCTGGAAAAAATATCCAAGCATCCAAGATCTTAATATTCCCTAATAATTTTCAAACCAAGCCCAGAGATAATAAATTTATAATTAATGAAGGGGAAATATCTGATATACCAATTAGTCTACAGGTAAAATATAATACTTTATAAAAATAATAACATAAGATTAACATTTAACATTAAAAATCCTAATATAGGCTTAATTTTGAGAAATATTTTTTACCAAAGCTTATCGTGTTAAGAAATATTATGCCCTTGTTAATTTATTTTCATATGTTTTCTTAAATAATTTTTTTTTGGAATTATAATGTCTATGGATTCAAATATTCTTAACTCACTCTTTATCATGAAAATGGTGATTCAAGACTCAAAAAGAGATAAGATTTATATTTCTTTGTAATAATAATTAATAAATCTCACTATTACAATATCGTAAGGGTAAGTTCCACTTATTTAGATAAACTACAACTGGGTACAAGGTTTGTTGGTATCCTTGAGAAAAAAAATTGGCATAATTTTATGAAGGGTGGGCCTTCATAAAATTCACGTTCGCTCATTTTGGGCAGGTCTATGACTAACGTGCTAAATAAGATAAGATAAGAACTTTAACGATACAAAAAATTAATTTAAAAATAAGTCTCTTAAAGTCCCTAATTGTACCCATTCTTACCTACGGACTGGAGACTTGGCAGGACACTAAAAGTAACATCAACGCAACTCAAACATTTATAAACAAATGCCTAAGAAGAATCACCAAAAGATATTACCCATACAACACCTCAAATTCAACGCTCTGGAATAGATGCGACATCCTATCAATCAATCGACTCATTTCCATGAGGAGATTAGAATTACTAGGCCATAGCTTAAGACACTCGCAGGAAAATATGATATTCTCGTCCATGAAATGGTCCCCTGACGGTAGGAAGCCCCTAAATACTATTGGTTGGCGAAATGTTTGAAGGATATGGACCTGATCAACCTCTAGTTTGCATATTTCATGGCACTCAGCAAGAACAAGAAACACCTAAAAGAACATCTAAAATACATGCTAAAATGCCTAAATTAAAATAGGAACCGTTTCTCTTCTTTTTCTTTTCTTGCAATTAGAACAAAGCATGTTTGATGATGATAATAATCTGGACAATACAACTTTCCTCATATGAACCCACGACTTTTTCTTCTGGACACACGACATCGGCGACAATAACGACAACAGCTACAACAACAAATAGAATAATGGATAATGACAACAAACACTGGTTATGATAATAACGCAATAACACCGACGAACCCAAATATCTTTTGCACAGCGCGTACAAGGTCTACAGGACACGCGATATCGACACACCGAATAACTAACAAAGAAGTGACTCATCATGCAAACTTAACTTAAACTCTCAATACTCACCAAGATATAAGAGTTATTATTGTTTTTTTTGTTGCCACACTGAATAACCATATCAGAATTCAGGTACATTATTACATGACATTATATTTCTTATCACTATTCTGCCGTAACGGAACTAATACATCACCACTTTCGTACTTCTCCCTTCTTCACTTTGCTAGCTGGCTATATAGTTGTACCGTCTACTATAATAAAACGGATATACATCATGTATAGGATCTATATACTAGTGAATATACTTGGTGCACGCCCAACTCCTGGTGGGTGATGAAATTGCACTTCGTGCAATTTCTAGGCGTGGTAATGAATGAATGAATGAATTTTGCAAATTATTTATTTTATACTTTAATATATTTGAACATTCAAGTAAATCACTTAAATGTAATATTAGACATTTATAATGCAATCTAGAGAGTTGACACAAAATGAAGAATTTATTCATTTTTATAATTACATTACTGAAAAATCTCATAGAAAAATAGAATATTACTGTCCAAAATAAAATGCTGGAGATAATTCTAAGAACATTCAAAATGTACAAACTTCCTTCCTTCCTTCTAAACTATCCCAGCGTCTGGTAGATATGTTAGTAATATATTTGATAAATATTTTTATTTAGGCATATATCAATAGAATTCAAAGAAATGTTTATTATTGCACAAGACAGATAAATATAAACTTTCCCCTTTAGGTTAGCAAATGTTTCCCTAGCCCTAGATTTTCTCTACTGTTGGAAAATATTGATAATAATTTTAAGTTTCCTAATTTAATTGTAAGCAATCATTATAATAAAAATTTTAATAGCTTGCATGAAATTTAAATCTTTTCTAATATATTGATAACAATAATATTACTGAAATAGAATTAATGAAATGAGTGACGCTGAAGATTTATTCAATAATATATACGATAAAGCCATTTTAAACAAAGAAGCAAAATTAAACAATAATTTAAAAAATATAAAAAAAACTTATATCGAAAGGAATCATAGATCTATATTTAACCTATATTGGGTAGAAGAGAAAATATATAAAACACAAATATAATTGCCTAATTTTTTATATATTATTTACAAGATTATTTTTTAATAATATTTATATAAAACTTTTTATAGATTTTTACCTTTATTTGTATAAACATTATATTTTTTTAATCCATATTATATAGTTAAATAAATTTATTTTAAAAATCTGAATAGAATTAAATAAAAAATACTTCATTTATTAAAATTTTATTTAAATGTAAGATATTAAACTTGGGCTTTGTAGATAAAAAACAAAAGATAAGTTAATTTCAAAGTCTTTGTGTTCTTTTTACTTATTATTACATTTTGATAACTTAATCTAAATATCTATTATTTCCCATGTTAAATTTCATAAAATAATGTATCAGAATATTATATAGGATGTTAATCATTGTATACCTAATTTTTTAAGAATATTATATACATAATTATGAAGTACGAATATGTCCTAAAAACATTTTATTAATCTCTATTTTGATTTCAATATAATTTCATCAATTATAAGAGAAATCAAAGAAACTAGATATTTTACTTTTGTAATCAAAATGTTGTAAATAAAATCTAATAAATAAATATTATTTTTATTTAATATTTATTTTTATCCGTTTTCTTCCTAAATTAAATGAAAATCAATCACTTTCAAAAGAACATGATGATAGAAAGTGGTACTGAAGTATAATCATTTATTTATCATATCTATAGGTAATCCTTGTTTGGATATGATGAAGTTCTACTTATATAATATAAATGCTAGTTAGAATCAAATAAAAAATTATGTCTTATATCTTTTATATAAATCTTAATTATTATGTCATTGAGATTTTTGATATATAAATATTCAGAGGAAATTTTGATTTTTGTTAATCTTATATTTAGAATACAATATTAAGCCAAACTAATTCGCATGATCTTATATCAATATAAACCTAAATTAAAATTATGAAAAATGACAAATTTAGCCCTTCTTGTTTCTAAAATTAATGGTAAAAACATAATAGCAATTTATATTAGAAACAAAATTAAAATGCAATTTTAATAATAATATACCTAAATAATTTTTTGATGTATCTTCTAAACCCTTGCATCATGACGCAATTATAAAAAAAATTATTTAGAAAAACATGATAATAACCTAAAGAAAAAAGAAAAATTAATCTATATTTCACAACACGATACTATGAGCTTTTGTCAAAATGCAATTAACATTACCTATGAGACTTAGAATAATGTCTGTATAAACATGATTTAGCATTAAATAAAAAGATAATTGTAAAATCAAATATAGACAGTATTTTTTGTAACAATATTAAGACGTGCAGACTAGCTCTGGGCTTTGATTATTAGGAGTAGTTTTGACCATCCTCAATAGATGGAGAAATCAAAAAAATAGGAGTACTTGAAGTTGATTTTGTCGGCATATGTCAATATGGAATCTATCCTTTAAATATCGTTAGGAGATAATTGATCCCCATGGTATGGAGCGGTATAATAGAATCTAAAAAATAATTGCGCAGAGCCAAGAACACATGTAAATATAGCGTCTATCTATTTTTTTAAATTGAAATCTGTAAATCCTTTACGGTTTTTATGAAAGCTATATTTATTCTTTTCCCAAATCTTAAATTTCAAATGGAAAATTTTCCTTTGTTAATCTTTCAGAATTCAATAAATTTGCCTTTATAAAGGCTATCACATATCTTTTCACTCTTTAAAAAATATTAGATGGATGTTCCTCTATTGCAAAGATTAATTTTCTTATTTATTCTTTTCACATATTTAATAAACAAATAAAAGGCAAAATATTTATATGAAAAATGAATGCGATTAAAATTTCCTAATTAAAAAATCTTTTAAACTAATATGCACCAAATCCAAAATTTATATGTATTAAATGTTTAGATACATATATAATTTGCATGTATTTAACAACCAATTCGCCAATATATATCATATTTTCATTTCTTTATATATTTTTAGAAATATTTTTTTTCCATATATTTATTTTCAATTAGACTTATTAAATTTATTTAATAATAGCACTCATTTTTATCATTTATTATTTATAATATATTAAATTGGATAAAAAAGGTACAAATATATTAAGTATATTTTTTTATCCATATATTATAAAAAAAAATATTTGTAATATAAAATGTGATCTTCAGAATCTTCATTCATTTAAACCATATGAAATCAAAATTTTGAATTTATTTTTATGGATTACGATAATTATAATAACATGACACTTATAGGGGCGTTAGATCAAGGAACCAGTAGCTCAAGATTCCTCGTAAATTTTTGATTCAATTTAATATTACAAATTTTGTTTTATAAATATATATATAGAACTAAATGTATAAAATATTATAAAAATATAATACCATCATATAAAAATTGATGAGTATACTTATTATTTATGAAAATATCTCGAATGTGGTAGATGAAATAAAATCCGAAAACATATGTTTAAATAATGTTGAACTTCTTTATTATAATCTATCAAATAAAATTATATGAAAATTAACATAAAATAAAATAAAAACCTTATTCTATAAGTTGATATTTTTGTTTAAAATATAAAATATAATTAGCCTAATTTCATAGGATTTTTAGTTATTGACCTATTTATTTTAAAAAACATTCAAATTTTGGACCAAGTTATCCCAATATATATATAAGAAATGAAAGGAGTGAACTTTAATTTTGATAAAATTCTGAATATTTATTTATTGAAGTTCTTAGATGAGTTGAAATTTATTAATGAATCCAGAGGACTATTCTTCCTCATAATTTTATACATAACATTTTAAATTAATTTTCAAATAAGCCACTTTATTTATGACAACCATACCCACCTTGTTAAAACTTCCAGTTACTCCCCCCAACCCTGTGCAAAATTATTTTTTATATATTTTATACCTTTGAGTTTTGGAATCCTCCAAAAAATATTTAATTTTAATTTATCATATTTAACAATTTTTTTCAGTCATTACATTTTCTTACTCTTTCATAGATTTTTTATGCAACTTAAATTTTTTTTAAATATTCATTATGAAATAACCATAAATTTTATCTAATAAATGATACATTTTTTATAATGTTAAATACTAGTTAATTTTTAGAGGAGCTGTAACTTTAATTGTAGTAGTTATATTTTTAACAGATAACTAATAGTTACTTATAATATTTAACCAAGATAAGTTAATTTTTAGGTAAGAAGTAACTCCATCTCGTTTACATTCAACCCTTTAAATTTTCAATGTAATTTATAAATCCAAATGTAACTAGCTACTTTTACAAGTTACCCAAATACGGTTATTATTTTAAAAATAAAATATAGCAAGTAACTGGAGCTATTTAATGTTAATGAAGTATCTTATAACTATAACGAAAAATAACTTTGATGACATTAATAATTTTTTTGGCTTTTTAAATCGATCATGGTAGGAGTTTATAGAATAATAGTTCTTGTTTCATATATGTTGTATAGATAAGAGTTTAGCGAGTGAGATTTTTATAGCAAATTTTTTTATTAAAAAAAAATCCCAAATCAATTCAACGCATCGCCTTAAATTTTTTTTTTACAAAAGAACTTGATTTTAACGGAATCGTATTCCACATGTATAGAGTTTTCTATCAGCTATTCAATTTCGGACTATTATGCCTCGGTCTCTTGAACCATCCTTAATTTTTAATTCATCACCTAAGTATTATAGTGTTCTAAATCCACTTTTTTTTTGCCATGCGCATTTTTTTCTATTAAATCAAATCCTTTAAATTTTTTTTGCTAAAAAACCTGAGTCATTAAAGCTCACCCTGAATTTTCTAAACTCCTACTAAATATTACGATATAGCAAGTAGATTTATTTTGTTAATTGATGATTATTACCACCATCTGATTTTGCTTCTTCGAACAATTATTTCTATTTTTTTCCCCTTATTATCAAGATTTTTTCGACTGATACCTGGGAGATTGTGACCATGCATCAAACACCTATGGAATCCACCTATCCCCAGGAAGGGTACGAATAAAAAACCATTATAACTTATTATAAACCTATTGTGTATTAGATATCCTAAAAAAACATCTTAAAAGGTTGAAAGGAAGAAAGAAAGAAAGAAAGAAAGAAAGAAAGAAAGAAAGAAAGAAAGAAAGAAAGAAAGAAAGAAAGTAAGAAGAAATATATATGTAATAATACAATACAATATAAAATTAATTATTCATTACCACATAATGGCCTTGATATAATTTAATTTGAAATAAAATAATTTTATAACAAACGTTTTTAAATAGCGTCCTGTTTGCCATTTTTTTTAGAAAAATTTTTTTTATCGCGATAAAATATAATTAAATTTTAAAAAAAATTTAAATGCCAAAAAAAAAATAATTTATTTGTAGTTTTTGATTACTATGGAATTTAGAAATTATGAAATTTAAATTTATGTAAGTTGGGTAGAACAAGACCCAAAGCAGATATTGTCGACGTCTTTACTGTGCATCACAAGGGCAGTCGAAAAATTGGTCGATATGGGTAGAGATCCCAACGATATTAAAGGTTTATTTTCACTTTAAAATTAATTCTCCTTATCGATTTCTATTCTTGAGTGATTTTCATTTCTATATAATTTCTTATTTCTTTTTCCGATCTCTTCATTTTCTAATTTCGATTTTATCAATTTTGCTAGCGATCGGCATTACGAATCAAAGAGAGACAACCATCTCGTGGGATAAAATCACAGGAGAACCACTCTACCCCGCAATAGGTTAATTTGATTCATTAAAAAGTCTTTATAAATTTGTCTAACAAATTTAAACTTTAGCACAGCCACCGTAGATTTTTTTTTATTCTTAAAAAAATGAATACGTTTCTCTATAATATGTCACAGATATTTTTGTAATTTATTTTTCATTTATTTCATTGCGTGAAAGATATAGGAATTTGTTTAATTTATTTTCGTAAATCTTGCTTCGAGGTATATTTGTTTTACATATAGGTAACTAAATACATAGTTTATATTTATTTTTTTATGCGTGTTGATATAACCATAGTCAGTCTTATGAATAAACAACATTTTTATAAGGCTTTATGTCCAAAACCATTTTTTTTAAAAAAAAAGAAAAATTTCATTAACCATTAATGACTAAATAAAATAATTAACTAAAAGAAAAACTATATAAATACTAAATATATATATATAGGTGAGGAGGAGTGTTAAAGAAAATTAACCCGACATATCATAGTTTTCATTATTATCACAAGTCTGTATTTCCTATATAAAATTCAAATAATGTTTGAGATGTTTTTAAAAATTCGCAAATTTTAAAATTTTTTAATGAAATCCCGTGTGTTAAATCCTTTTTATTTTTTGAAATTTATAAAAAATTTTCCAGAAATTATGGTTTTTTAAAGACATATTTTTCATTTATTTTCATTTAAATTTCCGAAAGTTTGTAAATTTAATTATTTTTTAAAAAAAAATGTTTTAGATATAACCTTAATCAAAGATTTATTAACGATTGGTGGGGCGTGTTTTAATTTACGAAAATTTTGGTTGTTTGAGGGCGTGGTGTCCAAAAACAACAATAAAAAATTAATTCGAAAAACTATTCAAATTTGTAATTTTTGTAAAATTTGGTTATGTTTTTTTTTTCAATATGGCCAAAACATGTTCGATGAAATTAGCAAAACTTTATCTTGTGATTTCTTAACAGTTGTAAATCTTTTGAAAGACTTTTTATGGAATTTTCTGAAACAGATCATGGACGCAACAGAAAAGTCGATTAAAAAGGCCAAGAAATCAAGAGATTAGCCAATGATAGAGATTTCCGTAAGAGATGGGCAGAAAAGTTTTACCCTCTCTCGGGCGAATTTCGAGAGGTTTTTTTTTAACAATAACAAGAAAAATAAGGGAGAAAAGAGAAAGAAAAAAATAAATAAATGAAAAGGATAAAAAATGAAAACAGGATTAATCTTTTCATCCACCCCAAAAAATAAAATTAGTATGGCAGGACAACCGCACGTCGGAATTACTGGAAGGCTTGATGAAAGCCAACGGCGTAAAAGATAAGGATAAAGAATGCCTCAAGGTTTGTTTGTTTTTAAAAAAATATTAAAAATAAATAGATTTTACGAAATTAATTGCCATTTCTAAATTAAAAGTTTTGTATATATATCAGAAACCGGAACCCGTCCTACCCGAAAATAGTGCAAAATAAATTCGTATTAAAATACTGTTTTAAACCGGGGCAAGAATAATCTCTTTTTAGAAACACTATAAAAAAAATAGAAGGCAAAAGGCGAGGGAAGGGGCAGGACTTGGAAATGAAATCTTTTTTAAAAATGATAGTAAAAGAAAATATAATATAGTAAAACATTATATATATACGCCTTTTTTTTTCAAAAATCCATGATTTGGAAGGATAAATGTGGGTTACCCTTATCGACTTATTTCAGCGCCGGTAAAATCAAATGGCTCATCACCAACGTACCCCAGGTCAGTGAAGCCGTCCAGGATGAAAGATGCCTATTCGGAACGGTCGATTCATGGATTATTTGGGTTTCAGAAATATTTTTTTTTCGTCTAAATTTGGAAGTATTCATGAGAGTGAATGTTAAATAAAATTATGTCAAATCGTAAATTATTTAAGCCCTATAAGGGGTAAAGAATAAAGAAAGGAAATATAAAAGAAAAGAAAGAAGAAAGGAATATAAAAGAAAAGAAAGAAATATAAAAAAAAATGAATGATGGAAAAAAAATGAAAGTACTAATTGGCATAAATTATAATCTTCCCAAACCTTCTCCTAGAATTTTAATTATTTATCACAAAACATTTGTTGGTGTATTTTTTATAGGATATTTTAGCAGCCATTGTCTGATTCTGCGCACACTAATTTTATTATTTATTTTTAAAACAATTATAAAATTATCGAAATCGTTCAGAATTTCAATAGGAATAACGGTGTAGGCAAGGGTGATTTGCACATAACCGATGTCACTAACGCCAGCAGAACCATGCTCATGAATATAGCCACCTTGGAATGGGATGAAGATCTTTGCAAGTTTATTATTTTTTTCTTTCATTTTTTTCTTCATTTTTTTCTTGCTAAGAGAATGTGTCTCTCGCTTGCTAACTTTTAAGGATTATTTAGATCTGAGCTTAGAAATAGGAAGGTTTTACTCAACAAATATGCAAAATATACGGCGCTCGAATTAAATTTTAACGCTCAAATTTGCGCTTTAGCTCCTCCCCCACGTGATAACTTATTTTCCCTTTCTTTCATTAAATTAATTCTATTTACCACTATTTGCAAGATTTTTCGGCATTCCTATGCACACGCTTCCCGAGATAAGGAGTTCTTCGGAGATTTATAGCCGCATCAGTTTATCGCCTCATCTCAAGGACGTTCCTATATCTGGCGTAATATATAAAATTTTTTTAAAATGAATAATATTGAATCCCGTTTGAAATCATATGGTCACAACTTTTTGAAATTCTAGGCAAACTTTATTCAATTCATTTGGACTCGTTTTTCGTGGGTTAAGAAGATACTCGAACCTTTTAACGCTTAATATTAAAAGATAGCAAGCCATAAATTGAGCTTTGTAAAATATCATTTGCTAATAATTTGAATATTTTGAGTGTTTACCTTTACATATTAGGAATTGTATCGTCTGCTATTTTAATAATGCCCTTGTTTTTAAAGTAATAGGTGTATAGAAACCACCATTCTTTTTATTATTTTTCTAATTGATTTCCAAACGCGAGAACGCGTTGACATACCCGAGCGTGGGAAATCAAGCATTTAAATGTTAAAAATATATTATCGTATTTATCTACTATCTTTAAATATGGAAATTATTTCGGAATCAAATACAACTAGTAAACAGACGATAAATTTATTTCGAAGCACTCGATTTTTTGGCTTGCTATTTTTTAACATTATGCCCTCGAAAGCTCTGATATATTCATGATGGCCTTAGTAAGAATCCCATAAAAAAGAAAGAAGGAAAGAAAGATAGAATGTAAGAAGGAAAAAAAAGAAAGAGAAATATATACTGACCTTTTTTCACTATTATTAAGTCGGGTCTTGAGCTAATTAAATTATCTCTCTTTTTTAGAATAAATACTTTTTAAATATGAAAATTAGCCAAAGTTGAACAGAAACAGATGATTTTGTTAGTTTATTACTTGGCTTTGTTTGCTGATCCTTGATATTATGTTTGGAATTTTTTAAAAAAAAATTTGATGAGGAATACCGAATGTGAAGCTATAAAATATTTTTTTTTAGGCATGTCCTATCTATATATTTTTTTAAAAAAAATATCGAAATTTCAAAAATTTTGTAACTTTATAAAATTATGAAACATGTTCCAAAAATCTTCCATTAAAATTTTTTTTTAAAGTGTAAATTTTGAAATCTATAATTCTTATCAAATTATTTTTATACCTCCCATATAATTTAAGTATTTAACTTCTTGATTAATATAACTGGATATTTCTTATTAGAATTTGATAAATATAAATTAGCAGTGCTTATTTATTTTTTTTTCGTAAAAATTTCACAACCTTATAAAATTTTGAGCTAGGATTTAATAAATTTTTTTATAATTTCTCGAAATTTAAAAAATTGATAAACTTTCTTAAATTCGAAAAAAATGATTTAGGTCGCTTTTATTTTTACATATAACTTATTTCTCTTTTTTTTTAAAGTTACAAAAAAAACATATTTAAAATTTTACCTTAAAAATTGCTCAAATATTTTTTTGTAAAAATTAATCTTTTATAAATAAAATATTTTGTTATTTTCATGCTTTAAAAAAAAATCTTTCAAGGTAAAATCACAATTTTCTTTCAAAGATTTTTGCTCAAAATAATAAACTCTAAATAAAATGTGTTATTTAAAAAAAAACAAAAGATATTAGGTGACCAGCAAGCCGCTTTAGTCGGTCAAAGATGCCTCCTCCCGGGCTCTGTCAAGAATACGTATGGCACCGGGTGCTTCTTGCTTTACAATACAGGCACCAAAGTATTTAAAAAAATATATTTTATTGCGATTAGTGTTATTAAGCGGCTCAATTTGAGCCAAATTTTTGCTAACTCAATATTTTATCCAGTTACGCAATTTTTGTATACGAACTCCAAAGAAGCATTTTATTAATATTTTTTAAATTAATTTTTTTCTATCAAGTTGATATACTCGAAACACGGTCTTTTAACAACTGTAGCCTACAAACTCGGACCAGGGGGAGTAACTCATTACGCTCTAGAGGGTTCTGTCGCTATAGCCGGTGCTGCTATAACTTGGCTCGTCAAAAGCTTGAACCTCATGAAGGATGAACACGAAACGGGTGAATGAATGATTTAGTAAGATTGATAGGAGTTGCATTGAGATCTTTTTAGGTCCTGACAATTATTTAACCCTTGAAGGAAATTATTTGCTTTTGTTTTTAAAAGGCCTTAAATTTTTAGTGGTCTGTATACAAGAGGTGTCAATGCACTCCGTTCCGCGGCCCACGAGCTGAGCCGGGTTAAAATAATTTTCGGGCCGGGTCTGACAAATTGCGCGAAATATTATTTTACGGGCCAGGCCGAAGTTTTGAAAATGTTTTAAAAGATGATTATTAATCATTTTTTTTGTTTTTTTTCCATACAAAAATTTTATAATGGACCGGGGTGAAATAATCCATTAAAATATTTCCAAGGAACTATCGTCCGTCCTTTAATCTATACATTATTAAAAACAAACGCTTTTTGTAACCAAAAATATTTTTAAAGAATCTTTAGCTAAATCGGTGCCGAACACTAACGGGTGTTATTTCGTTCCGGCATTCTCGGGCCTTTACGCTCCTTATTGGGACCCCAACGCTCGTGGGTATATATTATTTTCATTTTCCATATACTGAGTATTTTGCTGATTAATTGTGTTCTATTTTGTTGATTTTGTGTTCTATATTTTTAACATCAAAATACAGAATAATATGTGGGCTCTCTCATGCTACGAATAAGGGCCACATCGTTAGAGCTACACTCGAGGCGATATCCTTCCAAACCAAAGAAGTACGAAAAGCTCTTATAAAGATACTAAACATATATATATATTCGAAACTAAAATTATATTGATGAATATTAATTATGATTGTTTTATTAAACCATAATTATAATATAATTTATTAGAAACGTCAAATATTGAATTCACGAAATAATATGCAATTAAGTAATTATCAAAGTTAAAGTGACGATACATTTATTATGTATCTCTTAAAAGACTTTGAAGTAAATATTAAAATAAAAGAAAATTATAAAGCCGTATTTACTACCCGTAACCCTGAATTTAGAGTTAGCGCGAATTCGCTCTAACTATAATCAGGGTAAGACATATCACGTTTCAATGGAGGGATGAAGTAAATATGGATCGGTGGCAAAAAACCGGAATAATGGTATCAGTAACACCTAGCGAGTGGTTTAAATTGCTAACCATGAGCAAGGCGGATCGTAAATAACTCTTTACCAAGATTTTGGAGGCATTCCCAACCAGATTTGGTTCAGATGAAGTACCCTTTGCCCAGAGGGGAAGGGATTTTAGCTAATTGAGATGGTAAAACATGTTTTTTAAGGTTACCATTTGGTTTAAGGTTGCCGGCGCCCGTGTTTCAAAGGTATGGCTGAGGATTTTCAAGGTAGATTCGATTTTCTATTATCTAGATAATGTACTGATTGTTGGAAATAAATTGGAGACGATCATAATCAATGATTGATAGCTCTGTTAGAAAGAATCATTACACAAGGGACTAAGAGCTAACTATAAGAAGAGTGTATTTGTGGCGAGCGAAATAAATTATTCATGATAAAGAGTCGGAGACAAAATTATCTCATGTTTGACTTATAACTTAAAATATTTTTCGTCAATCCCTACAACAAGGACCTGCCAATTCTTTTAAATTCCAAAATCCAAATCCCAAAAGCGGTAATCTATATATTTTATCTTCCATCCAAAACCTTTTAAAATTATGTTCTTTAAAAAAGTAATCTATTATATCTGATACATATAATGCGCTTTTTAAAGTTCGGAACTTTTAATCTAACCTATAAGTGGATGCTTTCCTATCTAAGAAAAACAAAATACGAACCGAACCTGTCTTATTTTTGAATAACGGGAGAAATATGATTAATAAAAATTTCAGAATCAAAACCCAGATAATACATGCCAACACATAGTAAAAGTATCACCGATACAAAAAAGTATCGCTTTACTTGGTATTCACTTACATTGTAAAAAAATACTTATTTTATTAAATCCAATAAAATTTTTTAAAATGTCTCAAAGATTTTAGACGCTATGAACAAAGACACTCTTAATTCTCACGATATAAAATCTCTTCACGTTGACGGGGGAATGGCCACTAACAAAACGCTGATGCAGATACAGTCCGATATAGCTGGGATAGATATAAGTTCGTTTATATTTTATCTAAACTATAATTATTTTAATTTAAAGAATAAAATAAAGTGTGTTGCTTACTAGGACTTGTAGGGAATATAAATAATGGTAGAGTAGAATATTATAACTCCTTCCCTCATATATAGCTTTAATAGGTAGAACTACAAGAAGAATATAATGTTAATATTAGGAATGATTGACTTTTTTATACACTACCCTCATAAAATTTCTTGGTAAATAAAGATATTTAGATTTTCTTATTATTCGGGGGGGGGGGGGTTCATACTTTTGCCAAGGACTCTCCTTAGGGACTTCCGATAACCGAAGGGGTAAGATTGGCCTCTATAAAAGGGTAGGAATAAGAAATTTTTTTGGTTATAATCTCAAGCTGATGAATCATCAAGCTCATAAACCACACCATAACACATTCAACGATTTATAAATAATGCAATTTGAAAAAATCAAAATAATCAGAGAGGAAAATAGGAAATATAGACTTTTTGCTATTCATTTTTTTTATCACTACAAAAACTTATAAATAAAAATGGGTTCAAAGTAAATTTATCTTTAAAATTGTTTTTGCTTGTGGTATTGTTTTCCTACACCTAAAAAATGATATAGTTAGACACGAAATGTTAGAAAATACTGCCTTGGGCGCCGCCATGGCTGCAGCCAACGCCAAAGGAATCGATTTGTATGACATAGAAGGAGCTCAAGCTCATTACTTTGAGTTCACCAAATTCCAACCTAACATATCCTTGCCAGGTATTTTTTTTTACTTATCATTATTTTTAAAACTGTCACACACAATTTGTTATTTTATTTATTTAAAAATTAATTATTAATTTCATCTTCAATAAAAAATAAATATTAAAGAACGCCAAGAGAAATACACCATGTGGAAAAAAGCTGTTAGAAGATCCCTTTACTGGGAAGGCTTGCAAGATATATACCAAGATTAAAATTATCAGCTGATCAAACATTTAAAATAAAATACTCTATAATTTTTTTTAAAAATCGTTTATCCACCTTTTTATTTTTGAAATTTAAGGCCGCTTAAAGTAATATTTTCTTGCTCAATATTAAATTATCAATTAGGACATGCGCTTCAGCACAAAACTTATTAAAATAAATGTGATAAAATTGACAACCGACATTTAATACAAATTATTTATAACCTGTTTTTTAAGGTTCATTTATGAAATTATTTAGAGACGAAATTTTATTTTGTTTTTTAGAAATGACCAAAAAAAATTTTTTTTGATTTTGATATCTAAGAATTTTAATTAAATAACATAAATCATGATGCAAAAAAAGTAATACTATATATAAAAATCAATGCACAATAATATTATATAATACTTCATTTTTAAAGGGAAATATAAAATCAAATTTTTATTTTTATAATCCTTATACATGATTTATTATATCAATATGAGTGTACTACACATTATATTACAGTTTTTGAGTATTCACCATTTTGTGATATAAATGATATTTGTTGTTTTTTTAAATCATAAATTTACAGGTTTGCAAACAGGTGTTATCGGAACAAAGTATATAAAATGGCTGTTCCGATCCACAAATTCTCAATTAAATTTTTCACTGATACGATATTAAATCCATTTTTAACTTTTATAAAGCATATGCCATGCTTTGATTATTTTTGTAGTAAAATTAAATGTAATTTTTTTATATATATAATCATGTTTAATAAAAATATAACAATTACTTATATTTTTTTCTATAATTTTGTATAACGATATTGTATTAATTTTTTTTTGTATAATATTGATTGAACCTGAATAAAAAAAATTGCGTAAAAATCTTTTAAAACTAATTTTTGAAATTGAGCCCTAAATATAAGTTATTGTATAGTAAACTAAATGGATTAAATATAATTTAGGTGAAAATCTTAAAAATTAATTTAGATAAATTTTATGTAAATTAAATAAATTTCCTCTTTAAAAAAAAATCCCATAGCGATAGGTGCAATTAAACACAACGAAAGAATAAATTTAAAATAATTGGAGAAACTATTTTAAACAAGTAAAATTATGTACAAATTTTTTTTCTTTCAAGGAAGAAATGAAGGTATGCATTCATTTTTTTTAGTAATGGTATGTATATTATTTTTAAATTTTATTTATCGAGTATATGGGCAGTAAAAAAAATATTGCTTATACAACTATTAAAGATTTAATTGCTATATATAACTAATAACCTGATAGCACTCAACCTTGTTTTTTAATATAATTAATTACAATAATCCTAAAAATTAAGACTCAGTTAATATGGAAAAATGATGGGAGTATTACTCATAAGAGGGTTGCTATGAGGCCAGGTAAGACGAATAACGTAACAGGGTGGGGCGAGAAAGATCAATATTAATGACACCATTGAATATTTAAAGAAAAAAGTATTTAGCAAATATTTTATACAGACATAACGTACCTATAAAAGCGAGAAAATACATTAATACATAAATTAAATAGAAGTTTAAAAGGTGAAACAACTACTTGGGAAGGATTAAAGATAATACATTGAAAAAGGGTGTTTAACATTTTAAAAGAATGATCACGGGGAAAAGAAGCCATGGATAGATGGAGCGAGAAAATTAAAAGTATTGAAAAAGAATGATAGTGGCCGATATCTGTGTAATGTGAGAAAACCGTGCTATTATTCTTTTGGAAATGAAGGAAGGTGTTAACTTTGTTGAATAATGAGTGGGAGGATTGAAGGATGGGGGTGTGAATGTTTGGTTGGCCGATATGAATAAACAAATTGAAAAAATGTGATGAAAACAAGTTGGATAAATTTTATATTTTGATAAAAGGAATTATAAAAGGATCAAATTCGAAGAATTTCCATGGATTAACGGAAACAATAAAATTAGAAGATTTATGGGTTAAATTTGGGATTGCCAAAATCATACACACAGAGACCACTGTCATAAGTGAGTTTAAAAAAATTCTGAATTGATGCATATACTAGCATCACCGTATCCTTAGCTCGAATGGTCAGGCCAAGAGGATGTTTCAATATGTGAAGGTCTAACACCATTAGAACATTTCCTGAGAATAGCGTCACTGGATGCAATAAAACCGCAAATAAACGGGTTAGTATCTGGAATGCACGAGAATATAAAGTTTCAATTGGAGCAAAGAACAGATTTTATGGCGAGATAAAAAAAAAATAGGAAAGGGGTGTGGAATATTAATATGGTTAATCAGTTTGAAGGGGAAGGTGTGTGCCAGTGGCCAAGTAAAGAAGAGGGTCGAAGAGCTTCAAAAGAAAACGATTTCCGCATTATAAATTGAAGAACCAAATAAGAATATAAATAAAGGATTATTTTAAAAAAATTTTTTTAAATATTTTTATTGTTAAATGAAAGTTTTACAGTATTGGGGAATAGATTTATCGAGAAAATGGCATGGATATATCTAAGCCGACGATTTTTAAATTGTATTTTTCTTTTTAAACACATAAATGAATATAATTTTTTTAAAATATATTTTGGTTTTTTTATGCATAGATTTTTATATTTTTTTCTGTAACTTTTTGTAAATTTTAAGATAATGATATTGAATTAATTTTTTTTTGTGTAATACTGACAACAGGATAAAAGAATTTTTTGTAAAAATTTTAAAACTATGTATAAAATTAAAAAAAAAATAATTGTGAGCAAATTTAATCGAGAAAACAATCTACCTAAAATTATCAAAATTTAGCGTAATTTTGAATAAATTAAACATAAAAATAGAATAATATTTATTATATATATAATTTTATATTATTTATTTACACTAATATAAATATTTTATAAATTTAATTAAATAATAAAGTATCAAATATTTTATTTTCCCGAAATTTCGTGTTTATTTGTTTCGCCTTCTTCCTCCGATGAATCATCCAAAGAAGAGCTACCATTTTTTTTGGTCGACTTTTTAGCTAATTTAGCCGTTATATCTGGATTTTTGGTTAAAATGATTGTTTTGCAATAATTAAGAAATAATGAGTTACGTGAATGTACAAAAAAATTAATATTCCTTTTTCTCAAATAAATTTTAAAAAACTTTATAGATCAACGCCAAGGCTAATGGTTTTATTTAGAGCTAATGATAATTTTTTTATATCCCATTACCGATAGTTTTGTAATTGTACTAATTTTTAAGGACGCGTTTATATATAAAATAAAGTTACCGTTAGCTGGCGCGAATATTCCAAAGGTTTGTGCCCCACATACGAAGCACCTTGCATTAGTTCTGAACCTTTTGAGGGCGCAGGATTCGCAAAAATAATGGCGACATTTAGTCACAATTGGGGATTCGAAGGATTGCCGGCAGATGGCACATTTGAAAGGCAAGTCATCATTATCATCTGTTTCTCGCTTATCATCATCGTTGTCATTGGTTAGAATTTCGGCGAGGATTTCATATTTTCTGGATTCTAAATAAAAGATTAAGAATTAAATACTATTAAAAATTTATTTAGGATGATTTATAGGTTTTTTAAATATCTAAATATAGATGAAAATGTTAATTTTCATTTTTATAATAAGTTTTTTTTAAAAATATTATCGCATTAAATTCTGCGTAGATTAATAATTTGATAGGGCCAGGTGAGGTGATCAAATAATTTACTGTAATATGTACAGATCAAGATCATTAAAAAAAATTTTAATCGAGATTTTTACACTAAAATAAAGTTTAAACAACATTAAAATAAAGTTTAAAAAAGGACATATTAGATACATATACAGAGTTGTTAACGCTCCTTTTTAAAAGTAGCTAGCTCCTGCTTCTACCTTCACAAAAGGAGCTAGCCCCCTCTCCCGCTACTACATTTTTAAAAGGAGCTAGCTCCCGCTCCAAATAATGGAGTGCCACTCCATAACCGCTCCTTTGATTTTCATTTTTTTAGAAAGTACACGTAACAAAATCATATTTTGTTATGAAAAAGTTTTATTTATATTATATGATCTATCAAAATATTTATAATCTTTTATTAGCCTTTAAAAGAAATAAATTTTCTATATAATCTAACAAACTGCCATGCCTCTCCCCTAAAACCTTACAATACTAAAAAAGTGCTCCATAGAAGCACTAGAGGGAAGCAGGGTATTGTATTTTATAAAGATATTTTTTAATTCAGGTATAAAAAAGGAGGTTGAACGAGAAAATTAAAATAAATATTAAAATATATTTAAAAAAGTATCATATTTAACAACCCAAGCTCAGCTATAATGAATTGCCCAAAAATAATTATAATCATTTAAAAAAAAATTATTCCAAAATAAAAAAAATATAGTTATCATTTCGTAAAGAAAGATTTTTTACTTTTAGATGCTTTTAGATTGGAGCTGCTCATTTTTGAAAATGAAATACTTTTACATAAACACAAAAGGCATTTTGCCCTTAAATTTGTTTGATGCATTTGGATCAACATCTTTTAGAAGTTTAAAATATTTTTTGTATGACGGAAATGGAAATTAGATTTCTTCTTCCATGATCTCTAAATCCATAATATCGAAAACTATTTTTTATTATATATCTATAAAATGAATATTAATATGACTTACAAATTTCCACAAAATTTTCAATATAAAAATAAAAAACTTGATGTTTAATAATTAAAAGATTAGAAGAAAAACCAATTCAACATTTAGTAATGGATAATAAATAAAATACTAATAAATATTATTAATATTATAATTTAATTTATACCATAAATTTAAAGGAGCAATGGAGCGCCGCTAATCCATTCCAGCCCTAAAAGGAGCTAGTTCCCGCTCCCGCCCTTCATTTTTAAAAAGGAGGGGCACTCCGGGTATGACTAAATACTGAATTGCTAAAAAGCAATTAATCATAATCAATCAAAATTTTATTATGTATATTTTATTTAATGAAAATTTTTAAAACTTTTTTTAAAATATACTTAAATTATTTTTTTATTAAATGAAGGATACAGATTAAATATCATATAATATATAATTTTATTTTGAGTTAATATTATTATAAAAGAAATATTTTCATAGCTTATTAAAACATAAATAAATTTTTTTCAATTTTAAAAATTAACAAATGTAAGAGGGCGTTATATGCGTAAATATGTAAGTATCATTTTAGGAAACCGGAATGATGATTGGATAGCGCTTTTTTTATATTTGGGTATATATACATATGAAAAACCTAAAAATTAAAAAAATTTTTTAGGTTTCTTTGATGTTTAATTTATGAGTAGGTTTAGAATAGTAAAATAATGGAAATTTTCTAAGGTAAATATTGCTGGCGTTATTTATCAAAATCTCTTAATTTTTGTTTTATATGTGTATATTTACGCGCTAAGCATTATCCTAAAAAAATTTTGAAAATATTATGATTTGACCGAATGCCGAGCTTAAAACCGACCACTTACTAAATATTCGATTGACCAAATTTACTAGTAATATAATTTGAAAAATGTTGATTTTCGTTTTATATATCTATAAATACGTATAAAACATAATCCCAAAAAATATTTTTAAAATATCTCTATTTGGCAGATAACCGACTCGTAGCCCACCCAATGACTAAATACTGAATTGCTGGCGTTTTAAATCAAAATATCTTAATTTTTGTTTTATATGTGTATATTTACGTGCTTAGCATTATCCTAAAAAATCTTTTGAAAATAATTTGATTTGACCGATTGCCGAGCTCAAAACCGACCACTTACTAAATATTCGATTGACCAAATTTACTAGTAATATAATTTGAAAAATGTTGATTTTCGTTTTATATATCTATAAATACGTATAAAACATAATCCCAAAAAATATTTTTAAAATATCTCTATTTGGCGGATAACCGACCCAATGACTAAATACTGAATTGCTGGCGTTTTAAATCAAAATATCTTAATTTTTGTTTTATACGTGTATATTTACGTGCTAAGCATTATCCTAAAAAATCTTTTGAAAATAATTTGATTTGACCGATTGCCGAGCTCAAAACCGACCACTTACTAAATATTCGATTGACCAAATTTATTAGTAATATAATTTGAAAAATGTTGATTTTCGTTTTATATATCTATAAATACGTATAAAACATAATCCCAAAAAATATTTTTAAAATATCTCTATTTGGCAGATAACCGACTCGTAGCCCACCCAATGACTAAATACTGAATTGCTGGCGTTTTAAATCAAAATATCTTAATTTTTGTTTTATATGTGTATATTTACGTGCTTAGCATTATCCTAAAAAATCTTTTGAAAATAATTTGATTTGACCGATTGCCGAGCTCAAAACCGACCACTTACTAAATATTCGATTGACCAAATTTACTAGTAATATAATTTGAAAAATGTTGATTTTCGTTTTATATATCTATAAATACGTATAAAACATAATCCCAAAAAATATTTTTAAAATATCTCTATTTGGCGGATAACCGACTCGTAGCCCACCCAATGACTAAATACTGAATTGCTGGCGTTTTAAATCAAAATATCTTAATTTTTATTTTATATGTGTATATTTAAGTGCTTAGCATTATCCTAAAAAATCTTTTGAAAATAATTTGATTTGACCGATTGCCGAGCTCAAAACAGACCACTTACTAAATATTCGATTGACCAAATTTACTAGTAATATAATTTGAAAAATGTTGATTTTCGTTTTATATATCTATAAATACGTGTAAAACATAATCCCAAAAAATATTTTAAAAATATCTTGATTTGACGGATAACCGACTCGTAGCCCACCCAATGACTAAATACTGAATTGCTGGCGTTTTAAATCAAAATATCTTAATTTTTGTTTTATACGTGTATATTTACGTGCTAAGCATTATCATAAAAAATCTTTTGAAAATAATTTGATTTGACCGATTGCCGAGCTTAAAACCGACCACTTACTAAATATTAGATTGACCAAATTTACTATAAATTCTTAGTTATAAATTTATATAATTTTTGTATTAACACTTAAAATTTATGCAATACTATATGCTAAAGTATTTTTATTTTTATATAATAAATAAAATCTATAATACTCTCTAAAAATGTGTTATGTGCAAATATTTCAGATAATTTTAATTGTCTAAGAGATAAGCAATTGAGATTCAAAAAAGGGGCGTTTAAACCCCCTCCCCATGATTATATTCTTTCTAATATTTTTTTATTTTCCTTTATTATTTATATTCGAAATTATTATATTTTCCTGAATATTTTAAAAATATTTGGCATTATTTTAAAAATAAAAAAATTTGAGTTAGAAGTATATAAAAAATAATAAACAAATAAATAAATAAATACTTTTAAATAATAGCCGTTAAAATTTAAAATTGTTTTATAATTATAAATCATATTTTTGCTATTAAAATGTCTGATCTGTTCTCAAAGTTTTTATTTTGGTAAAATATATATTTAATATTATATTTTAAAATTTTATTATAGGTTAAAGGAAACGGTTATCCGCCAAATAGCGATATTTTAAAAATATTTTTTGGGATTATGTTTTACACGTATTTATAGATATATAAAACGAAAATCAACATTTTTCAAATTATATTACTAGTAAATTTGGTCAATCGAATATTTAGTAAGTGGTCGGTTTTGAGCTCGGCAATCGGTCAAATCAAATTATTTTCAAAAAATTTTTTAGGATAATGCTTAGCACGTAAATATACACATATAAAAAAAAAATTAAGATATTTTGATTTAAAACGCCAGCAATTCAGTATTTAGTCATTGGGTGGGCTACGAGTCGGTTATCCGCCAAATAGAGATATTTTAAAAATATTTTTTGGGATTATGTTTTATACGTATTTATAGATATATAAAACGAAAATCAACATTTTTCAAATTATATTACTAGTAAATTTGGTCAATCAAATATTTAGTAAGTGGTCGGTTTTAAGCTCGGCAATCGGTCAAATCAAATTATTTTCAAAAGATTTTTTAGGATAATGCTTAGCACGTAAATATACACGTATAAAACAAAAATTAAGATATTTTGATTTAAAACGCCAGCAATTCAGTATTTAGTCATTGGGTCGGTTACGAGTCGGTTATCCGCCAAATAGAGATATTTTAAAAATATTTTTTGGGATTATGTTTTATACGTATTTATAGATATATAAAACGAAAATCAACATTTTTCAAATTATATTACTAGTAAATTTGGTCAATCGAATATTTAGTAAGTGGTCGGTTTTAAGCTTGGCATTCGGTCAAATCAAATTATTTTCAAAAGATTTTTTAGGATAATGCTTAGCACGTAAATATACACGTATAAAACAAAAATTAAGATATTTTGATTTAAAACGCCAGCAATTCAGTATTTAGTCATTGGGTGGGCTACGAGTCGGTTATCCGCCAAATAGCGATATTTTAAAAATATTTTTTGGGATTATGTTTTATACGTATTTATAGATATATAAAACGAAAATCAACATTTTTCAAATTGTATTACTAGTAAATTTGGTCAATCGAATATTTAGTAAGTGGTCGGTTTTAAGCTCGGCAATTGGTCAAATTATAATATTTTCAAAAAATTTTTTAGGATAATGCTTAGCACGTAAATATACACATATAAAACAAAAATTAAGAGATTTTGATAAATAACGCCAGCAATATTTACCTTAGAAAATTTCTATTATTTTACTATTCTAAACCTACTCATAAATTAAACATCAAAGAAACCTAAATTTTTTTTTTAATTTTTAGATTTTTCATATGTATATATACCCAAATAAAAAAAAGCGCTATCCAATCATCATTCCGGTTTCCTAAAATGATACTTACATATTTACGCATATAACGCCCTCTTACATTTGTTAATTTTTAAAATTGAAAAAAATTTATTTATGTTTTAATAAGCTATGAAAATATTTCTTTTATAATAATATTAACTCAAAATAAAATTATATATTATATGATATTTAATCAGTATCCTTCATTTAATAAAAAAATAATTTAAGTATATTTTAAAAAAAGTTTTAAAAATTTTCATTAAATAAATTATACATAATAAAATTTTGATTGATTATGATTAATTGCTTTTTAGCAATTCAGTATTTAGTCATACTGGGGGCACTCCAGGTGTTTTTAAAAAAATGTAGTGGCGTGCTCCTTAACGACTCTGTACATATAATATATTTCGAATATTTACTAATAATAAAAAAGGCTATTGTTTATCAATTGGAAAGAATTTGACTATTTGTATTCATATATAATAAATATGTTATCACCTATATCTTCTTGTCCATATCTGCCTTCATTCCATTCTTGTTCAAGTTGCCACCCAAATTTGTAATCCGTCCTATCATGTCCAAATTTGCAGCTATCTAAAAATTCAAAAAAAATCCCTTTGATATAAATATTCTAAAACTACAATATATAATGAGATATAATACATAAAACAAATGTCGCATTTAAATTTAAATTAATTGACAGAAAAGTAATGCAACAAAATTAAAGATATTAAAAAAAATATATCAATAAGTGGTATATTAATGAATTTGAATATTGAAAAAATGTATAAGGTGTCCTTTATTATTAACGCATTTTGCTCAGGCGGTGTGGTAAACACTATCAAAATCACAAATGATTCTTCCCAAAGACAATAATTTTTAAAATATATGTCACAACATATGTTTATCAAATTTTATCATAGCGTTTTCATCGTTTTGCTCTATTTATATAAGTTATACCTATTATTGGCTTGATCTTATATCATACTTAAATAATGCAACACTTGAACAAAACATGTTTACAATAAATGAGGCCTAAGTCATATCTAGTGTTCTTAAACGACTCGATTTGGGCCGATTTTTAAAAATGGCTAACTCAATATTTTAGCCAGAAAATATTCCCTAAACCTCGAGATTTCGATAATATGTCTAGACCTTTGTTGTTAAACAACACTAGTCATATCATCAGGTATGTTATTTTACTTTATATTATAAAATAATATATAAAAACCTCCAAATCCACAATATCCTGTCTCCTGGTAATCTTTACATAAATCAGGCTGATAATCCCATCTAGTGGTAGATCTGATAAATGTAGGTGCTCTCATTGGTCCCTTTCTAATTTTAAAAATATAAAATCACAGTAAGAATTATAGAAAGATAGTAAAAAATTTATTGATGTTTGCTTCCTATTAAGCTTATCTTACATTATTTTAAAATTTTATGGACTGATTTTGCACTGAAAAATTAAATCAACCTTCAGCATTTGTAGTATTTTTATAATTATTGTAAGATAGTTATATATATTGTAAAAAAATACCTTATAATAAAACATTTAAATACCTTGTGTGAAATATAAAACATGTATCATTTATATGTATACCTGACCAAATTGCTAGCTGCATTTCCTAGTACAGTATCTTTTTTCTCAATAAATTGTACATAATTATTCATCCCTCTGTAAATTTTGTCATCTTTCTTACCCTTCATTTCCTTTATTTAAATAGATGATGTATTTTAATTGTATAAATTAACAGCACTTGTAATATGCCATATATACATGTAATTGTTTTTTAAGCTATAAAAAGAATATGAACCTTATTTATATCAAGAGATTTTTGATATATAGCTTGTGCATCAACAGTAAGATCTGTATCAACTTGATATTCAAGTGTTGCGCCCATATCTTGAGGGCCCTCTCTTTTCTATAACACAATATATAAAATTATGATTTAATACAATATAAAAGATTTGCTAGAATCTTCCTATAAATTATAATAATATGATTTATATTACTTCACTTTTGGTTGATTTAAAAGAGACAGTAATTAAATCTTCCTTTTCTGAGTTGTGTTCATCATCAGAAGATTCATAATTTTTTGGTCCTGATTTGCCAGATTGTGTCTATTATCAAATAAATATCAAGCAAATATTTTTTTTTAAATTACGCTTTGTTTCAGGGGATTAAAAGATGCAATCTTTTTGGATTTGAATATTTGTGTTTCTCCATCAGAAGAACTGCTTCCTGAATAATAATTAATATAAAATCTAATATATAACAAAGATAATGTTACCGGAAATTGATTTTTGTCTTTTTCTTGTATTAATTGATTTATTCTTCTTAAAAAATAGGCAATTTGGTTTAATAGTTGAATTTATTTCTTGATCAGTTTCCAGCATTTTGATTATATTAACCTTTGGTCAAAAGACCGAATCGTTTAAAATGTAGGGAAGGTATCAACTCAATGATACATTGTATCAACTATTTTATAATTTAAATATCTCCGATCAAAATTTAATTTATAAATATTTATTAATATATATATATATCACCCGGAATAGAAATATATCAGAACTATTAGATTAAAATCAATGTATAAAACTTTTTGTTCAAATTAATTAAACGTCACATGTCGGCTTCTCAACAATTTTATTATTTTCAATTATATAAAATAAAAAGCTACAAATATTTAATTTTAAATTTTTTTTCAATATTTCAGTTATAAAATATATAAATAAATTGCATATAAGTTTCATTAGTATTGAATGGCATTTTTGTAATTTAAATAGATAGAATTTTTTTGTACTTAACAAAAGATATAGATAGCCCTCATCAAATTTTTTGATAAAAGGAGTTAACCCACTAATTGGTAAATCCGAGATTTCCCCTTCATGTGTTGATAAATTATTTAGAAATTTAACTATCTCCGGGTTTGGGAAAAAGTTTTGAAACTTAATATGAGGGGGGGGGGGTTTAAAAATCATATAAATTGGATATGATTTTTAAATAGAAGTTAACATCTTTCTTAAAAAAACGAATAAAATTCTCATTCTCCGTCATTTTTGAATGGCTATCTACTAGTTAAATTAATATAGTATTAGCCTAACAATAGACAATTATAATAAATACATGACTTCAAACCAATGATATATATATATCATTGCTTCAAACCCATATCTAATCATTAAACTCACTTTCTCACAAATTCCAATAAAATTTTAATAATAATTTTCATAACTAAAATATAATTATTTTTTATGTGGGAATATTAAGCATTTATAGCGTTTGCCATAGGAATATAGCCTTAATTCAATTTTTTTTACCAGGGGTAGATTTAACAAGTGTTAATTAATGTAGTTATATATATCATTGGTGTTATCTCAAATAATTCACTTTTATATAAAATTTAATATAGCAATAATGTTGAGATTGAAATATCACCTGTTATAATTTATAATATCCTAATTTTCATAAAGAATTCTTAAATCAGAATAAACTATTAATCTTCCTCCACCTCTCATTTAATTCGATAAATATAATTTCGACTTTTAAATAATAATTATAAAGGCAAGGATTTCAAACTAAATTCTATGGGTAAATCTTTTAATCTTTACCTTTAAAGTTTCTATTAAACCAACAGATAAAAACTTGTGTCTATATCATCGCAATAAACATAGAAAATATTTTTTTATGATTTCAATGAAGATACTTTCCTTCTATAAGGAAATTGCCGAGGATCTCTCATCTTTTATAAAACGTAATTTTATTGAAATAGACAAGGGTGAACTTACTGAAACGTCCTCTCTTTTAATATATATTCGACAGAAGGTATAATGGTTTTCGACTCTCTTTTTTAATTTTTAACTTAGACTAAAAATATCATTTAATAGTACATTTGTTAATTTATTTATACTTAGAGAGAAAATATGTTAAAAACACACGACCAAAAAATTTGGGGAAAAAAGTTAAGGAAAATAACGGTGGAAATAAAATCCCAAGGGAAAAACTGCCAGATAAAAATCTTATGAATAAAAAACTGCGGCAAAAAAAAATCTATAGGAATAAAAGTCTACGAAAAATAAATTTTTATATATTTAATTAAAAAAACTACTAAGAATAAAATTTAAGGTCAGGAATTAATCTTATGCAAGTGTACAATTATATCTAGTATAACAATAAGATTTGCTTAAAATATTATTCGAAAATTTTAGAATTTATAGGAAATATGTTATCGCTTTTTTAAAATTTAAATAGATAATTAGAATCTCTCTAAAATTATGACAAGGCAATTAGTAATTTTCATTATATTTAACTTTACAAAAATGCCTTAATTTATATTTTTTCAATAAATCCAGGGCTTCATTAGACAGAATATATGTGTGTATTTTTTAAATTTTTAATAATAATTCTATCAATTATAAAATCAAAAATTTATATATAGATGATTGTGGGACATGGACATGTTTAAAATCAAGCTCAAGAAAATATATTATAATATATAATTATAATGTCCATGGTCCATTTATTTTTAAAAATGGTCAAGGCCAGACACAATCTACGTGAGCGATGGAGATAGGAACAGTTTGCATCAAATTTTTTTGAAGAGGGTGGGGGGGGGCTAGACTAGGTTAGTGATTAGAGGGTTATCTATTAAATTTTAGATGAAATAGAACAAAATGTATTGCTGTAAAAATTAATACTTTCATTATAGACTATTATAATACAATAGTATTGCTAAACATTAATCAAATCTATATATAGGGCATTATCATAGATAATATTATAAAAAACCGTTTATGGATCACTTTCTGCTATTTGGTTATATCGGTAAACTCAGTAGAGTCATTAGAGGGAGTGCGCAGGGGCTCGAACCCCATTCTAAATTATATGAGCTCCTTCAAAATTTCGAAATTCTTTTGTATACCATTAAAAAAATGGTAATTTTGGATAATATTTGTTAAAAAAAGGTAATTTTAGATAATGTTAGTTAAAAAAAAAGATGTAATTTTTAAATAATTTGACATGTCAAAAAATATATACTATAATAACGTGATCATTGTAAAGATGGGAGTTATTGATTGAATTCCTGTTTTAAAAATAACTCTTTTACGTTCCATGTTAATAGTTGGTTGTAGAGAATTAATAATTAAGGTAATTCTTTTTAAAATTAATAAATTAAGTATTATTATAATGATAAGGCAAATAAAAATTTTTCGGGGGGTAGGTATAAATTTATGAGAAGGGTTTTCATCCAGTGAATATCCTATCATATAAATGCTGCTGGACACTCGTATAGGTGGTTATAGAATTTTCAAAAAATTTAACTTCAACCTTTAATCAAAAATGAGAAGTAAAAAGTATATACGCATCATTTTAAAAATTAATATTATTGAAAACTAATTACTATAATTTAATTTGACTAATTTCTTCCAATTTAAACCAATTTATTTATTATAAAATATTATATCAAAGTACAGGAAATAATTATTCCTCCTTTTAAATATTCATTATCATACCTTTCTACAATTTTTTAAATATATAAGAAATTATGTAATCAATTTAAGATTTTATTAGAATCCATCGGAAAATAATATATAGGATATATTTGCAAGATTCAATTTGCCAAATTAATTTTCCTTACAATAATATGAAGCATATGCGCGAAATATATTTACATTATTCAATATTATAAATGCTATATGAAATATTTTTATAACTATAATAATTTACGAAATGTATGATTTGAATTGCGTTTGATTGGTTAAGAATTAATATTATATAATAAAAAATAATAATAATTAATATAACATTTTAATCATCTACAATAATGATATTGTTAAATTTTTGTATAAGTAAACTACAAACTATAAGGCATATATATTTAAATTTTATTAAATCTATCCGCCTTTAATTAAGCAACAAATCTATCATGTGAGCCATGACGACGACCTTCACGTTGATTATGATCAATGCCAACTCGGTGATGACCATCGTGACTTGCACCATGAACTCTATCGCCTAAAGTAGAATTATGTCCGCCGCGGCCATGTCTACCACCATGTCGACCATCGTGACTACGATCATTATCTATCAGAATAAAAAAAAAATGAAATATAAGGATTAAGAGCAAAGGCGTTTTTTCTTCTCCTGCTTCGTTCCAGTTCCTTTTAAAATATAATTTTATTTATTGGTACCCGTTTCGTTTCAGATTAAATAAAGTTTCCATTTTTAAACAAATTTAAAACATTCCTGATAAGCCCGAATATTTTCCCAAAACTCCAATAAGTGTTAGAACCATACTCTCTGCAAACTATTCTATATATATTTTATATTAAAAATAAAGTTCCCATGTTTCTCTAAAATATGGTAAATATTTCTAAGAACGTTCAGGGGATTGATTGAACTATTTAATAAAATATTGTACACATGATTATATATGAATATGAGATAAATAAGATAAAATACGAGTAATAGAGATCATATACCTAATCATCTGCGCCCATGTCCGCGCATATGCACCATCGAAACCAGAATCATTAATGTGAAACTAAGAAAGAGTAATATTTTCATTTTTTAAAAGTTAATAAAAAAATATTTTAATCGTTTTATAGTTAATTTTTTTAAAATGAATATATAAATTTCGCGATTTGTTAATGAAAATGCTTGTTCATTTGGCTAAATTTAATTTAGCAAATATCTATAAGTTTTTTGGTCCTTAGCCAATTTTTTTTAAAATATATATTTAGCAAATAATCTTAATTTCTCTTTAATATTGGAGTATTCTTATGAAAATCATTTTTACTTTTTTTTAGAAAAAGTATAGGAATACGGTAAAAAAAAAAGAAGTAAATATTGATATTAAACATTAATCAATGCCAAATTTATTAAGGATTTTTTTCAACTATCTTATCCAAAATTGGAGGATAAAATGATCTATTTACAAGTGTAATTTCCTATTTTGTATTTATCAATTCTAGGGCAGAATTTTTCCAGGGAATGGCTAAAGACTATTTTTATAATGTGATAAAATTTAGATTTTTTTTTTGTTAAAATATTTTTATATGCAAATTGTCATCCTAAAAATTTATATGTAAATTAATGAATATTTAATTGCAATATTTTTACGTTGAATATTGTAATAATCTATAAGTTAGATTTTATCTTCGTCTATGATGCAATTAAAATGGATAAACTCATTAAGCATTATGATAGCCTATCATCACGCGTTATTTGATCGGAAATTGACTCATAATGATAAAGTTTCTATCATTCATATTGTAATCATTAAAGATAAATATTAGTGATAGATTGTTTGATTTTAAATATATGGTTATAGGGTACGCAATCTATTAATTTTATATATTTTACAAAGAGCAATTTTTAAATTTGTTAGACATCGATAATGTGGACAATAACGACTCTGTTTAGATAATTTTGCTATTGAAATAATTGGGCATTCTTCAATTTATATAAAATACCAACACTCTTTATTTTTTGTCAAAGCAGATTTTTGAATAAATATAGCCCTAAGTATTTGATTTAAGAGATTACAAATTACCAAGTAGTCTCATTCCTAGAAATTTCCAGCTTATTAAGAAAATTTCGAAAACTATTTATGTACTGCCCCTAGCTATAAAGCATGAAATAAATTGAGAAATTTGTGTGAAAAAAAATTCCAAGTAACTAAAGATAGAAAGCCCTTGTTTTTTTTAAGGATTCCACATCATAGTTTAATTATATATATACAATAAAGGTAAAAAAAATATATCCCAAAAGAGCAAATAATTTGCTATATAGTGATGATCTAACCTAATCAGTGGCGTAGCTACGGGGGTGGTTTTCGGGTTTGGACTCCTCCCAGAGCAAAAGTTTATTTTTAGATTATACGTTCAAAAGCAGGGTTTTACAAAAATCTTCAAATAAAAATTTGAAGATTTTTTTCGCCCAAAATTTTGAGGAAAAAATCTTTGAAGATCAATTTTTTGCGAAGATTTTTTCGCTAAAAAAAATTTTGAGCTTGCTCAAAGAAGATTTTTGAGCAAAATAAAAAATATTTTTTGTAAAAAAATCTTCTATAATTTTGAGAAAATATTTTGAGAATTTTATAATAAAATAAAATCTTTTGTAAGGAAATCTTTATTAAAATATTTTTGAAATTTTGATCTTAAAATTTTTTGGATAAAAATAAAATTTTTGATATATATTTTTTTTTATTTTATTATGTTAATGAAAATATTTTTTTTGAATAGGTTGTAAATGTGAGAATTGGTCATAATACCGACTGCATTTTTTTTAATATTTGGAATAAGTAATAATGATTATTTTAAAAATGTAATGTCATAATTTTAATGTTTTATATTTAATGTAAACTATAAAAGTGACAATTGTCATAATACTCATCTCAGAACCTTTAAAAATAATTATAATTAAAAAAGGCTAGTTGAGCATGTTTTGAGATGGTTTCAGTGATTGTAAAGCATATAAAGGTGACAATTGTCATAATACTTATTTCACATATGTTTTAATTGGAAATAGAGAAAAATGATTATTTCAAACATGAATTAATATAATGTGTAAACTATAAAAGTGACAATTGTCATAATATTCATAACAGAACCTATAAAAATAATTTTATTTTTAGGTATTAAATAGGCGAGAAAAAATTTTTTGAGCATGTTTCGAGATGGTTTTAATGATTGTAAAAATTGTCACAATCGTTATTTTTGAACTTTTTTAAAGCAAGTAGATAAAAATTTATTAAATATAAAATTAAATGTGGATGTACCATAGAGCAGTGACAATTGTCATAATCGTTATTTTTGAACTTTTTTGAATTTTTTTGAAGCAACAGAGTAAAATAATAAATTGTAAACATGTTAAATTGAAATTTAAATGTGGATGTACCATAGAAAAGTGACAATTGTCATAATCGTTATTTTTAATCTTTTTTGAATTTTTTTGAAGCAAAAGGGTAAAATTATATATTGTAAACATGTTAAATAAAAATTTCAGTGAAGATGTACCATAGAAATGTGACAATTATCATAATTGTTATCTTTGAACTTTTTTGAATTTTTTTAAAGCAAATAGGTAAAAATATATATTGTAAACCTGTTAAATTAAAATTTCAGTGAATATGTACCATAGAAAAGTGACAATTGTCATAATCGTTATTTTTAATCTTTTTTGATTTTTTTTGAAGAAATTATATATTGTAAACTTATTAAATTAAAATTTCACTGAAGATCTACCATAGAAAAGTAAAATTGTCTTAATCGTCATTTTTAATCTTTTTTAAATTTTTTTGAACTTACAGGGTAAAATAATAAATTGTAAACTTGTTAAATTTAAATGTGGATGTACCATAGATAAGTGACAATTGTCATAATGGCCATTTTTAATCTTTTTGGAATTTTTTTGAAGCAAAAGGGTAAAATAATAAATTATAAACATGTAAAATTAAAATTTAAATGAGGATGTACTATAGAAATGTGACAATTGTCATAAACGTTTATTTTAATCTTTTTTGAATTTTTTTTAAGCAAATGGGTAAAATTATATATTGTAAACATAATAAATTAAAATTTCAGTGGAGATCTACCATAGAAAAGTGACAATTGTCATAATCGTTATTTTTAATCTTTTTTAAATTATTTTGAAGCAAAAATATAAAATTATATATTGTAAACATGTTAAATTAAAATTTAAATGAGGATGTACCATAGAAAAATGACAATTGTCATAATCATTATGATCATTTTAGAATTTATTTGCTGAAACGAGCAGGTTTTTAGCTGAAGCCCGTCCATGGGCGGCCTAGCTTAATAATTTTAAAAAGTGCGAGCGAATCGGTTACAAAATTTTAACAATTAGCGGGCTAAAAAATTTTAACTTTAGTTTATTATTTAAAATCTATTAGGTAAACATTAAAAAGAATCTATGAATATAATTCCCAGGAAATAAAATTCCCATTTTTTAAGATATTAAAAATTACAAAATTAGTAAAATAGTCACTATCTCCAGGTCTCTTAAATCTTTCTACATCTACATGTTGGTACCAATTAACATTATATTGTTTATTATATATAATCTTTTAGATTTTTCCTCACAGGAAGAACCATCTTATTCTCAAAATATTTCAAATTCAGTTTTATTTGGTATAACAAATAATTCTTAACCCAATCAAATAAATTTTTCTACAATAAACTCTGATACCTATCATAAACCACAAAAGAAATATAGCAATTGGAGTCAGGAAAAAATTGCAATAGCCATAAACAGAATAAGAGGCCATCCGTCAAACTCCCTCCTTCAAGGGGGAAAACGTATCGGTTTTGGGTACCATTACAGCAATGAAAATTAAAAAAAAATTTGAATTCAATTTTATAAAAAAAAAATTATATAATACTTTTTTTCAATCTGGTGCCGCCTCGCTGGCACCAGCAAATTTCATTTTTTTGAGATTTTTATTTTCTTTAATTCATAAGGCAAAACATTAAATAAAAATAAATAAAGGAGGGAGAGAGAGAGACAATGGGAAAAACGAAAAGAAAAGAAAATGCATTTTTTATATCTTCATTTAACATTTGATTTTTTATAAATATAAATAAAAAAAACATTAAATAAATGTATCCCATCCAAATTTATAAATGGGGGTTTTATTTGGCCTCAATAAAACAATTATTTTATTCATTTTTTTTATTTTATATAACATTAATTCCTGATTTTTTATTTCAAAATATAATAAACAAGTGAAAATAAAAATAAAAGGAAAAAACAAGAAAGTTAAAATTAAAAATTACAAAATTTTTTTTTTATATATAATGCAAAATAAAAAAAATCTCAAAGATATTCTAAAGGAGCATTTTTTAATCGATTCTTCTGAAAATTTAGCGACGTGCAGCATGTGTGACAAAAAGATGAAGTCAATACCATGTAAAATAAATTATTTAATGTATTTTTCAATATATTTTTCTAGCAAATCTTAAAAGACACATAACCTCTCAACACCCAAACATAATGAAAGCAGATGAATCTAATAGTGATTCGTCCTTCAATGCTAGAAATACAGCAAAAGAAAAATTCCCAAAAATTAAGATCGATAAATCTAAAGTAATTAATATTTAAATAAAGAATAAATAATTATTTTTTAGGTTTTTGAATGTATAGTATGGTTGATTACAGTCCATAATTTACCCATAAATTTAGTAAATTATGAGGGTTTCCGTATTTTACTAGACCCTATATGTCATTCTCTTCAAATGAAAATAAATACTCGGTCAGTGGTCGACAAAATAAAATATACCGCATCCGAAATTAGACTTCAAATTATACATGAATTAAAAAACAAGCTAATTTCTTTAAAAATTGATACAGCTACTAGATATAATAAATCAATATTAGGTATTAATGTTCAGTATATAAAAGATGGCCAGATACAAGTACGAACACTAGGAATGATAGAACTAATAAAAATTCATACAGGTGTAAACCTAAAAGAAGAAATCCAAACAATTTTAAAAAAATACCAGATAGATTTAAAACAAATATATAGCATTACTGTGGATAACGGCGCCAATATGCTTAAAATGGTTGACACTATGGCTAGAGATCAATTAAATAATGATAATGATCTATCTAATTCTAATGAAAACAATTTAAGCCAGATATTATTTAATACAAGTGTAAGTTATCAGGAAAATGTATGTATTGATGATGAAAATGTCTCCGTTTATTCTGATGAAGAAACACCAGAGGGTATTGACGAGGAAAATATATCAGATGATATAAGCAAAAGCTTTGGCTTAAGTTGCATTAGATGTTCTGCACATACTATACAACTTGCTGTAAACATGTTTATCAAAAAATATTTAAAACTAGACTTAGAGAAAATTCGTATTATAATTAAATTGATAAAATCTCACAAATATAAAAGATTATTTATAATGGACAAAGTTTCGAAACCCACGCTAGATACTGTTACTAGGTGGAATAGTACTTATCTAATGATGAAAAATCTAATGGATAATAAAACCTTTTATACTAAAATGGGTGAATTATACCCAGAAACTTTTATTAGTTTCGATTTATGGGATATTATCCTATTAGGTACATCAGTCCTTTTCCCATTATACAAATTCACAATGAAATTACAAAAAAGTAATATTGTAATAGGTGATTTTTTTGCTTCATGGCTAGAATGCAAAATGGAGCTGGAGGAAATGGATAATAATTTATCTAAAAGTATGTTGGAATGTTTAAACATTAGAGAAAGCTATCTTTTTCAAAATGACGCATTTCGTAGTGCGATATATATGGATCCTAGATTCCATTATGAAAATGGAAAATATCCTTTGGAAGAAGATAAAATATTGGCCAGGGTAAATTAATAAATTTATAATATACATCTTTTTATTTTAGGAACATATATTTGCAACTTGGAAACAATTGCAAGCTATTGACCCTCATGAAGAAAATACAACTCTAGTTATGCCTTCCACTAGTGATTATAAAAAAACAAAACTTGACCTTTACATTGAGCGTGATTGCAAGAAGGGACCTATATTTTATGAATTATGTAATAGCGATATCAAGCTAAAAATAAAATCGTTATTATACAACAAAAGATTGCCATCCTCACAAGATATTTTGCAATATTGGGTTTCAAGAAAACACCAAGATGCAGAATTATTTAAATTATCTCAAATAATTCTTGCTGCTCCTTGCACCCAGGTCTCAGTTGAGAGAGCATTTAGTGCATTGGCACTAACTGTAACCTCTCTAAGGACAAGATTAGACAAAGATATACTTGATGATATTTTAATTATAAAGCTTAATCGTACATTGTTAAATAATGTGATATTTTAAATAATTATTTATATAACCTATTTCATTATAAAGTTATTGTTTACATTGAAATTTTAATAAATAAAAATTCATATATATGACTGATTTAGATTTTTTGTATGAATAGTATAATCAGAGGGGGGCGTATTTTACTAGATATATCCAAATAGTAGTTTCTAAGATCTAAAATTGATTTAAAAGATTAAAGAAAAAATATTTTTAAATTTGTTGTTCCCAAAAATATCATGTTTATATTGATGCATCTTTCTAGTTCAACTCCGTTCCGGTTGGCTCTAAAAATTTAACATATATGATACTATTATCATCTGCCCAGAGGTTTAAGTGTTTCCCAACAAGATCATATTAACCTAATTTAAAAATAATGGATATGACTATGAGTAATGTGATAATTTCAAAATATATATATTAAAATAATTTCAAAAGGGAGTTGAGAATTAGATATGTCACTTATCTATGGTACATATTCACTGAAATTTTAATTTAACATGTGTACAATTTATTATTTTACCCTTTAAGTTCAAAAAAATTAAATAAAAAATTAAAAATGATAATTGTCACTTTTCTATGGTAGATCTCCACTGAAATTTTAATTTAACATGTTTACAATATATAATTTTACCCTTTTGCTTAAAAAAAATTCAAAAAAGATTAAAATAAACGTTTATGACAATTGTCACATTTCTATGGTACATCCTCATTTAAATTTTAATTTATCATGTTTATAATTTATTATTTTACCCTTTTGCTTCAAAAAAATTCAAAAAAGATTAAAAATGGCCATTATGACAATTGTCACTTATCTATAGTACATCCACATTTAAATTTAACAAGTTTACAATTTATTATTTTACCCTGTAAGTTCAAAAAAATTTAAAAGGGATTAAAAATGACGATTAAGACAATTTTCACTTTTCTATGGTAGATCTTCAGTGAAATTTTAATTTAATAAGTTTACAATATATAATTTCTTCAAAAAAAATCAAAAAAGATTAAAAATAACGATTATGACAATTGTCACTTTTCTATGGTACATATTCACTGAAATTTTAATTTAACAGGTTTACAATATATATTTTTACCTATTTGCTTTAAAAAAATTCAAAAAAGTTCAAAGATAACAATTATGATAATTGTCACATTTCTATGGTACATCTTCACTGAAATTTTTATTTAACATGTTTACAATATATAATTTTACCCTTTTGCTTCAAAAAAATTCAAAAAAGATTAAAAATAACGATTATGACAATTGTCACTTTTCTATGGTACATCCACATTTAAATTTCAATTTAACATGTTTACAATTTATTATTTTACTCTGTTGCTTCAAAAAAATTCAAAAAAGTTCAAAAATAACGATTATGACAATTGTCACTGCTCTATGGTACATCCACATTTAATTTTATATTTAATAAATTTTTATCTACTTGCTTTAAAAAAGTTCAAAAATAACGATTGTGACAATTTTTACAATCATTAAAACCATCTCGAAACATGCTCAAAAAATTTTTTCTCGCCTATTTAATACCTAAAAATAAAATTATTTTTATAGGTTCTGTTATGAATATTATGACAATTGTCACTTTTATAGTTTACACATTATATTAATTCATGTTTGAAATAATCATTTTTCTCTATTTCCAATTAAAACATATGTGAAATAAGTATTATGACAATTGTCACCTTTATATGCTTTACAATCACTGAAACCATCTCAAAACATGCTCAACTAGCCTTTTTTAATTATAATTATTTTTAAAGGTTCTGAGATGAGTATTATGACAATTGTCACTTTTATAGTTTACATTAAATATAAAACATTAAAATTATGACATTACATTTTTAAAATAATCATTATTACTTATTCCAAATATTAAAAAAAATGCAGTCGGTATTATGACCAATTCTCACATTTACAACCTATTCAAAAAAAATATTTTCATTAACATAATAAAATAAAAAAATATATATATCAAAAATTTTATTTTTAAAGAATTTACCAAAAAATTTTAAGATCAAAATTTCAAAAATATTTTAATAAAGATTTCCTTACAAAAGATTTTATTTTATTATAAAATTCTCAAAATATTTTCTCAAAATTATAGAAGATTTTTTTACAAAAAATATTTTTTATTTTGCTCAAAAATCTTCTTTGAGCAAGCTCAAAATTTTTTTTAGCGAAAAAATCTTCGCATTTTTTGATCTTCAAAAGAGCAACGATCTGTGAAGATTTTTGAATTTTGAGCAAATGTTAAACCCTGTTCAAAAGACTTATAAGTGGTGACTTTATATCAAATAAATACCAATAATATTTATATTTTTCTGGTTTTGATGTTTGTGGAAGGATATTATATTACTATTGAAATTATTATGGATAGTATTATAATAAAGTCATTGAGAATAATCTACTAAATTATAAAACAAATTATTGATGCATTTAAAAAATATATTTATTATATATTATCAAGATATGGTTATGATTTGTAAGATAAACTCCGGCCGAAGGCCGGGGAAAAGGGCCGAAGGAGGCTTTTATATGTATGGACCCCCTCTAAGGAAAATTCCTAGCTACGCCACTGAACCTAATATATAAATGTATCCTTCGCGCATTTTTATTTTCAAAAGAGACCATTTCGCCATGATTTTAACGACGTTCAATTAATAATTACCCGAGACCTATTGAGGGAATATTTAAATGCCCCGGCCTGAGTGTGTTTTATATTTTCAAGCGTGGCACATTGGTCATCGGTTTAATTAATTATTGTCTCTCAGTCAAACGTTAAACTCATTAGTTTTTATGGCCCCTTATTAGTTAAAACTAGATTATATTGGGACAATTCTGTATTCCTAAAACCTCAACGACCTTTCTAATGAAAGATTGAGATACTTCACTCATATAAGGTTATACCTAAAATCACGCCTTCATGACGACGATCTTACGTTTTTTACCATGAGATCAATGTTTAGGAGTTTCTTGAAACTATACCCTCCTATAATCTCAATTAGCTCCAATATGCAGGGCAGCTAAGAGGCGCTATTGCACTATCTCTTAACTGCAAAATTATTTTGTCCTGCCAATGAGAACACTGTAAAACCAGTGTTGACTGCAAGGACAAGAAATATCTCCATTGTCTATTTTGCCTAGGTAATTTCTCATGGCATACCAAATGCTACGATATTTCTCTAGTCTATATATCAGCAAGCATCCTTACCAATCAGAATTGTTAGAACTAACGAGAAACATCCTTGTTTTTATGGTCAATCAATTTAAGATTTCCTCTTGAATCTCGCACTCGCCGAATATCGGAAATAAATATATACAGTTCCGTTGATACTTCTAAAAAATACGCGTCTCCTCTCTTCTAACCTCTTTGAATAGAAAGTTCAATTTTTGATCAAACTAAAAAATTTTTCTTCTTAATTCAAATGTTAACCACTAAAATTATTCTTTATATCTTCTATCGAGTAATCTCCATTACTTCCATCTTTCCTTGATTCTCTTTTCTACTTTCCAGATACCTTCTTAAATATTCTTCTTTTATCCTTCTTCTATCCTTATTCTATCATTAATCTTTAATATTTTATGCCTCTATTAATTTTATACTTTAAAACTTAAAGCATACACTTCCTTCTTATAATATATTTGAGTATTATATATATTTACTTAAATAAAGAAAAGATACTAAAAATAATAATAGTAAAATAAATAATTTTAACTTTACAATCTAAAACTTTGACGGGATACCCAACTTAGAGGACTAATGATTTTCAATAAAGTAGATTTAAAATTTTTTTGAAATCATTTCGTTCAAACAATTGTTAAAAATTTAATAACACAGCATACAAATTTAATTTCAATATTATATCTAGTTTAACCTAAATGAATAAGGTTTTGAGGGTGGGAGTCTAATAGCGTTTTGCCTCCAAATATCTCAAGAGAGTAGAAATAAATTTTTTTTAGGGAGCATATGTATTCCCCGTTATCTTTTATGTTAACATCTATTAACTCTTATAACATTTCCATTCCGTATATGTTGATTTTATAAAATTATAGTAAATTTTTAAAATAATATAACATACTAACTTTAAAAAAAAAATTAGAATAATCTATTATGATAATCTTATCTTTTATCATTTTACTTCATTAACCAATATTTTAAAATTGATCATTCTCCAACTTGAAGATTAATATTAAGCATCTGAAATGTTTACTATATCAATTATACACATATTTTAAATTATTAGAATAAATAAATCCGTTACATTTATTTTTATATAATATTAGTGACAAATATTTCGGCAAGCAAAAATTGAATGAAAAGGGTTTTCTTTTTACGCAGGCTTCATAATAACATTGCTTTGATTAAAAAGATTTTACCAAATCTCGCCCTTTTTAGTATTTCCTAAGTCAGGAGGGAACGGAGTAATTTAACTAAATTTGATTTCTATTTTATTTCTATTTCTTACATTCTTGTTTTAATAAAAATCGGTAGAATATTTACCGTCCACCGGTGTCCAATAATATTTTATCTAAATGGTCGAATTCCGTTAATTTTTATTATTTTAAAAAATAATATTACATTTGATGATAAATTTAATAAATCAGAGCTTAAAAATATGAGACAAAAAAGATTCCACTAGAAACCACATATTTTATAAAATCATGGATTTAAACATACGATTAAATAGTAATTTAATATCAGTGGCGTATCCAGAATTTTCTTATAGAGGGGGGGATTTTTTTTGGGGTCTTCGCTCCCAAACCCCTTTTACCTGGCCTTCGGCCGGGTTTTATGTTTTAGCTATTCTATTAAATTATTCATAATTTAATAATAATTATATTTCTATTTTTAACTATTATTTACTAATTCGTGCTTATGGTTATTACAAGCCTATTTTTTCTTATTTCAAGTTAGGTATATTATATTTAATAAAGTTTTTTTAATGTAAAGTTGAATTAAAGTGTAATGTAATTTTTTTTATAAAAAATTTGCTTTAAAATCTAGCCTCAGCTTAAATTCTCATACAATATAAGTAGAATATAATTTTTTTTATTGAAAATACTAATAGTAGTGTGTATAAAATATTGACTAGAAAATAATTAAACTAACAAGTTTT